AAAAAAAAAATCTATTTCCCTATTGATGGATACTTGAGTTGCTTCCAACCTTTTGCTATTACAAACAACGCTAATGTGAGTAACCTTATACATATGTGATTTCATACATTATGGCTTTATCTGCAGAATAACTTTAATGGCTCCTGCCAAAACTTACAGGAATTATAATAATTTGTACTACCAAATGAGAGAAACTACCGCTTCTACCCCCAATCTTGTTAATACAGTATTGTTTCTAATTTCTGGCTATTACAAACAAGATGCCAAGAACATCTGTGTATAAGTCTTCTATAGACATATATTTCCTTTTGGGTAAATAACTAGGAGTGGAAAGCCTGGTTCACATTGGTTTATGTTTAGCCTTTTAAGAAACTGCCAAACTATCTTCCAAGTAGTCATGCATTTTGCATTCACACCAGCTGCATGTGAGAGTTCCACTTCTTCCACATCCTGGCCAGCACTTGGTGTGCTTAGTCTTTTTAATTTTGGCCATTCTAATAGGTAGGTAGTGCTATTTCATTGTGATTTTTTTTTAAATTTCAGCATATTATGGGGGTACAAATTTTAAGGTTTCAAATGATGCCCTTGCCCCTCCCCCCAAGTCTGAGCTTCAAGCGTGACCATCCCCCAGATGGTGCACATCTCACTCATTATGTATGTATATACCCGCCCTCTCCTCCCCTCTCCCACCTGCCCAATACCCAATTAGTGTAATTCCTATGTGTCCACTTGGGTGCTGATCAGTTAAGACCAATTTGCTGGTGAGTATATGTGGTGCTTGTTTTTCCATTCTTGATTTTAATTTGCAATTCTCTAATGACTAATTGTGTTCAGTATCTTTACATGTGATTACTTGAAATATGTGTATCTTTTTTGGTAAAATATCTATCCAAATCTTTTGTTTTTTTAAATCCACCTCTTTGGATTTGGTTAATTTGCTGGAGCAGCTGAGAACTCAGAGAAACACCTTTACTGGTCTATTATAAAGGATATAAATTTAGAGATACGTAGGGCAACACATGTGGGAAGTGGTGTGTGCACCACCCTCCAGGAACCTCTGCATGTTCAGCTATCCCAAAGCTCTGCAAACCTTGTCCTCTTGGCCCTTTTAGGGAGACTTCACTGGACAGGCATGATGGACAACTATGTAGAAATGGGACTGGACAAAAAGGGCGTGAGCTATACTAGTAGGCTGAGCGGGGAAACCCAGCAAGGCCTGTCTGTTGAGGTCGTTGGCCTCTCTGTGCAACTTTCTTCCTCCAGCATGTGGGGCAGGACCCCTGATGAGACAGTGCAAGTCAGAATGTCTTTATGGCCGGCTCCACAACTGAAAAGCAAGGGAAGTTGTCTGCCCTGCGGAGAACAAGGAGCAGGTGAAACAGGGACAGAGGCAGCAATTCTATTTTGGGGGGCCTAAGGTACCCCAACATTACAACAAGGGCTATGGGAGTGTTATGCCAGGAACTGTGGATGAAAACCTGTATGTGTATCATATCACAGGTTTGTATTAAATATATACTTGGTATTCTATCTTAAATGTTTAACAGAATTCATATTTAAGCCATCTGGGTCTGGGGTTTTTGTGGGAAGGTTGACCACAATTTCAATTTCTCTGATACAGGGCTATTCAGGTTACCCATTTCTTGAATGAGCTTTCGCAATTTGTGTCTTCTCCATTTTATCTAAGCTATCACATTTATTGGCATAAAGTTATTCATAATATTGCCTTATTATGCATGCATTATCTATAGACCTTATGGTGATATCACCTCTCATCTCTGGTATTAGGAAATTGTTTCTTTTATCCTGATCTGACCAGAGGTATATTAATTTTATTAATCTTCTGAAAAAAACAGCCTTTGGTTTCATTGATTTTCTCAATTCTTTTTCTGTTTATTTCAGGAGTCAAGAAACTTTTTCTGTATCTTAAGACTTTGTAGGCAACGTAATCTGGTATAGCTGCTAGGGCTGCTGTGGTAGCACACAAGTAGGCGTAGACGTATGTAAATGAGTGTGGTTGCACCAAACTGTACAGAAACAGGTATAACCTGCAGCGTGTCACTGCTGGGCTCCTGTTCTGTTCCTTGGTTTCTGCCTACTGTCATTTCCTTCTTGTTTCCTTTGGGTTTAATTCGTTCTTTCTTGTCTAGGTATTTAAGGTAGAAGCTGAGTTCACTGATTTTAAGACCTTTTCTCTATTCTAATACAGGTGTGTTTGATGCCATGAATTTTCCCTAAGTAATGCTAACACAAACTATATTGAGACTTAGTATTTTAATAACTGGCAGAACTGATCCCATGCATTGTCCTTCCTTTTTCAGAGTTTTCCTGATTGTTTTGTTTGCTTACTTAGTTGTATATGTAAACTTTAGAACTATCTTGTCCAATTCTGGGGTAATTTTATTAGGACTAGTTATCTTTATCAGTAAACTTAGAAGAACTGGTCAATTTTTATGTTGCAGAGTCTTCTTATCTAAGAGTTGATCTTTCTATCTATTCTAGTCTTTTGTGTCTTTCCATAGTGCTATAAAAAGTTTTTCTCCTGCAGGTGGGGAGGGGTGAGCCAGCTTCAGGATGGTGGCTGCCTCCAGGAAGAGGGAAGAGTTTGAGAGCAACCAAATAGGCTCCTCACCTCTGTCCACAATGTTGTGGTAGGATGGCACTTTTAATATATCTGATTGGTGGCCACATGTTTCTTATGAAATAATTTTCTATACACTAGAAATATTTTAAAGTTTAAAAAATTAAAAACAGGCCAGACACAGTGGGGTTCATGCCTATAATCCTAGCATCCTGGGAGGCCAAGACGGGAGGATCACTAGAGGCCAGGAATTTGAGATCATTCCCAGGAAACATCAAAAACTGTCTCTAAAAAAAAAAATAGAAAAATTAGCTAGGCGTGTTGGCTCAAGCCTGTAGTCTCAGCAACTTGGGAGGCTGAGGCTGGAGGATCACTTGAGCCCAGGAGTTTGAGATTGCAGTGAGCTATAGTGATGCCACTGCACTCTAGCCTGGGCAACAGAGTGAGACCCTGTCTCAAATAAAAAATAAAATAACGTAAAATAAAAACAAGTCAATTTTAATAGAAAAAAATTATTACAAATACAGTGATTCTTTTCATATTACAGTAGTACATTCTGATAAACCAAATGGCTATAATTTATGTATATTTCAGGTATAAAACTATACTTTTTTTTTTACATATAGTACAATTTCCAGTGCGATGACGTTTCAATGAGGAAAAGATTGCATTCACAAATAAACACCATCATCCCTGAGTCCACAGAAGATAAGCCCTGCCCAGACATCCCCCCATGGGGGAGCAGTCCCTAAAGAAGGGGCTTCCCCTCCTTTATCTCCTGTTTGACAGTTCACAGCGAGTGAGGCCCTTCCAGAAGGACGTGTGTACAGACCCACCGTCCAGAGTTCTAATGATGTAAGGCCAGAACAGAGAAATGGCAAAACTCTACAGAGCCCGATTTTGCCTTTTTTAGCTGTTCTTTGCTGAGAGCCCCCATAATTCATCTCACCATTGAATAGAAAAAGTGAGAATTTTCCAATGGGAAATTACTCAGGACTGCCAATAAAAATGTAGTCTTTCGCAACATGTATATTTCCCCAGCATCTGGCACGTAGTAGAAATCCATTAAATGTGTGTGGGGCGAACAAAGATTCACAATCCCCACGCGGCCAAGGGTGCCCCTAGGAAAGGAAAGCCGTCTACACAGACAGGGCTGCGGGAGCAATCTTACTGATGAGTTTGTTGAGAGCTTGCACTTTTTCTTCCAAGATGCGGCTTTTTTTCTCAGCACCTCGTTGCTTCTGTTCGGTGACCTGAAGCGCCTTCACCAGGTGAGCATTTTCCACATAGAGCTCCTTGAGCAACAGGTTGGACTTCGTGTTCTTTTCAAACTGGAGAGGGAGGAAGCCACACTTTACTGTGAATCTGGTACAGAAATGCTGCAGACCAACCCGCCCTCATCCACGTTAGTTCAAACCCTCGTTTTGGATTCTTACAGTTCTGACACACAAATACTGGACATAATGACAATTTTTGTTATCCTGGCATGAGGGATGAAATTGAGAATTTGCTGAACTGTGGTAGAGAAATTTTAAGGCAGCTTTGTGCTATGAAGTGAAGACTTAAGACCAAAATCAAGTCCTCAAAGGCCCTGTTATTCAGTGCAATGTAAAATAACGAAATCGTAAGAATGAAGAAAGTGTCTGGTTCCTCTCAGTGTGCTCTGCTGGCCATGATGTCACCCAGGACATACTGTATCCACCCTCACAGCAGGGGCGTGGGCCAGTTGCCATGCACACAACAGCCAGGCCACACAGGGGTCAGCAATGGGAACATGAGGCCACTGTAGTCCACGCCACATTCACTCACTTGCCAGGCAGCTACTGAGCGCCCCCACGTGTGCCCCCTGCTCTGGCAACAGCCCTGCTATCATGGAGTGCAGATTCTAATAGTAAGAGTAGATGGAAAACATGCACAAGGGTGCTAAGAAAACCCAACAGGGGATAGAGCTGGGGGCCAGGGGTGCCCATTTTGACCCGTGAGCAGAGACAGCCACTGTGAGCAGAGATGTGAATTAAGAAAGGGAGAAAGCCACAAGGCTGTCTGGGCGTGAACGCTGCAGGCGGAGATAAGAGCATGCACAAAGGCCCTGTGGCTAGTACATGCTCAGGGTAACTGAGCAGCTGCCAGGAGGCCACTGTGGCTGGAAACCATGGCTGAGGGGAAGGCAGAAAGAGGAGTTAGGGCTTTGAGGCAGAGGCCAAGGAGAGATCCAAAAGAACTTCAGAGGACATTGTAAAAACTCTGCCACCTACTAAGGGACATGAGAACACTGGGTGTTTCTGGGCAGAGGAGGAACAGGACCTCAGTCACATTTTAAAAGGATCACTATTGCCCCTGTGCTGAGAATAAAGGAGGAAACAAGGAGGCCAGGTAGCACGCAGACAGGGTGGTGAGAAGTGGCTGGGTTTGTCCACTTTGAAGGTGGGGCTACAGATTAAATGTAGACACACGGTGGGGGGTAGTCAGCCATGACCCCAAGGTTTTGACCTGAGCCAGTGGCCAGGAGAACAGGAGTGCCAGCAGGTGAGGTGGTGGGGACAGCCCTTTCAAGGGTATTTCTGTGAAGAGGAACAGAACTGCTGAAGCCAGGAGAGTGGGAGGCACTGTGGGGGTGTCCAAGGTGCGGGAGGTAGTTAATGCGGAGGGGGCGCTACAAATTTTCTTTGGGCGCTCTGGTTTTCCAGTGAAACCAGCAGCAAATTCACAGCAAGAAGAGTTCAGAGGAGCTGCGGGCCCCAGGGAGGAGGCAGGGGAAGGGGCCTCTGCAGAGGCTGCAGGACAGGCCTGAGCTCCGTGCCCAGGGCAAGTGTGCTGGAGCCACAGGATTTAACCAGAATCAAAGTGTTGCCAGGCCAAAGGGACAAACAGTACGTGTGCACGGGAGTGACGGTGAGGTGGGTCATCAGAGGTCCTGACAGCTGGGCAGCAAGAGGGGCAGTGGAGGGGCTGGGCAGGAGGGGCACACCCCTCCTTCCACAAAGGTCTCAAGTTCGGGCTCAGCTCCGGATCCCTCAGATAAATCGAACCATACTGGGTCACTATGGGATAAAGTATTACCCCAGGTTTTCACATCTCTTAATTCCGTCTAGCACTGAACGTCTTCTGGAGCCGCTGATGTGTGGCCAGGCCTGTTGGTGTGTCCACCTCACAGCCCACCTGGCTCCTGCCAGGCCTGTGGCCCCTACCACTGACACTGCCCCCATGCTGTCCCCACCGTGGGTGCTCTGCGTCAGCTCTTACAGATCAGGACAGCTATGGCTACCTTTGGGTTTCTGCTCCCAGTAGCAACCCAAATTATTTTTTCCCCCAGTGTGATTTCTTTTAAAATGTAGATCAAATCATGCTCTTACTTAAAATCTTCCGGGTGTTTCTAACTGCCACTTAAGTTAAAACCCAAACCCCTGACCTTGGCCTACAGGACATGACGACGGGCCCTGCCAACCACACCCTGTCAGTTCACACCAGCCACGGTCACCTCCTCAACGGTCTCTGAGGGCTCTGGCCCTCGCCGTCCCTGAGCCTGCCTGGAATGTGCCTCCTCCTCAGGTCCCCCAGCACACCTGGAGGCGTGTGCATTTCCCACCTGGTGAGCCTTCCAAAATGCCACTGCGCCTCTGCTAGGGACACAGCTAGAGCTTCTCACGCTGGTCATCTGGAGTCTGCCCCATGCCAGCTCTTCACGGTGGTCCTGACCACCTTCCGTGCAGTGCCCTTCCCTTCCGTTCTCCCTCGGTCAGAGTTTAGCACGACCTTATCTCAGGGCCTATCTAGAGCAAGGCCTCGCCACATGGCAGGTGCTCGGGGCCGTCTGCTCAATGACTGAACAAGCAAATGAACGAAGGAATGCCCTTTCTGAAACTATGTGAACACCGCTCAAAAGAGATCTTAAGCCATTCCCAAAGGAAAATACATGCAAAGTACTACAGTGTAGGATATGTATTTGGTAAAATCAATCTTCTACTGGTTACTTTTAAGTGTTAATCTTCTGAAAAATATTTGCACATTCTCAAAATGAAGGTTAGACAGAGCCCCAGGTTCAGCGGTTGCAAATGAACACGGGTTCGCTGGAGTTCTGTGACGAGACAGCCTCCCGCACCAGCAGCTGCGCACCCGTAACAGGCAAACGCCCGGAGAGGCCGCGAACACGGACGTCACAGCCGCCCGCCACTCACCTGTCCTTTCAGCTCCTCCACTTTCTCTTGGAGGAGCATCTCCACGTGCTGCAGCATCATCTCCGCCTCGCCCAGCCGCTCCTCTGTGGCTTTCAGCTGTTTTTCATGTTCCTCCTGCCACAAAAGGAGGTTACATTTTACAAATGTAAATGGCATTTGTAAAAGATGGCGTTTTACATTGTGAAAAGAATCCTCTCAAGTCTTATTTACTCTGAAATGGAAATCAGCTAAGATGTACACATCTGAATGTGACTGTAGGTAACCTTTCATCCGCACAGAGCAACAGTTAAGAATGTCCCGCACGTGTCACGGCGCTGTCGCTTCACTTTGTATCACAGTTCAGGGAGAACCAGCAGACTGATGTGTCCTCAAAGAACCGGTCCTAGGATTTTAATTATAAACGACCACAACGTGAATTTCTCTAGATGTGTCAGTGTGTAATTCTAGAGGAGTTCTGATTAAGTTTCTTTGGTCAATAAAGAATCAATCATTAACTAAAGCTAAACAAACAGGCATAAAGAAAGGAAAGGCATCATTAAGGAAGATGCATGCCAAACAAACAACTGAACCCACCCACCAAGCAACCCACCCACCCACTCCACCAACGAAGCCACCCCCCCCGCCCCCCAACCAACCCCACAGAATGTCCCCCATGAACTATGAACGGTGTTGTGAATTTCGGGAGTGAGCTGTTTTCTCAGCCTTCTGAATTAAACTCACACACGGGATACACACGCCAGAGACCATTTGGGCAGCACTCTGCATCTCCAGACGCCGCCTCACAGCCCCGGCACCCTGCCCTCTCCTCCCTCCCTCCGCTCCTTCCTGTCCTTAACTGTGCCCAGCACTCACCTGCCGCAGGCCTCCGCACCACTGCTCCTGCAGACTGCCCAGGTCGCTGGGCGGCCTGCTCCCTCTCCTCCTCCAAACCCAAGGGCCGCCCGCTGAGGCCGGCTCTGTTCGCCTGTCTGACTGCGTGGCCTCCCTGGCCACAGCACTGCTCACCACGACTCCTGTTTTATTTTCCATCTCGTTGTTTCCCCACCACCACTAGAATGTAAGCTCAAGACAGCTCCAGTTTTTGCCCTGTGTGCTCATTTCTCTAACACCTAGATCAGTGTGCACCCAACAACCCACTGCAGGGACGGTGCTTGTGGGCCATATGTATGTACCTGTGGGCAGATTATTTTCATTCTGCATCATGGTTTCAGAATCCTTTAAAATTAGATGCATCATTTGAAAACTGGAAACACTCACATAAAAATCCAGTTTCTGGCTTTTCTTTGAAATCAGCACTGGCACCCTCTGGCCTGCGCTCCCACAATGCCACTAGGCAGGGGCTGGGAGCAGCTGCCCCTGGGACAGGTGGTCCCACAGCCCCTAGAGCAACTTCCTCACCACCAACACCACCTTTAAAGGCTACAAGCAGCTTGAGTGTGTCGCCCCTAATGTCTAGCGTGTGGCCTCAGAGCAGCCAACAGACACACAGGCCCAGCTGCTGACCTGTGCAGCCCTGGAGACAGACGTGTCTGGGAGGACCTGCAGCCCCAGGCTAGAGGAACCTTCAGGGTCACCTGGCTCCCCACCACCCTCCCTTTCTCCTTGATCCAACCTAGACCCCTGTTGGAAAGTCCCTTATTGTCAAAGTGAGGATCAGGACCCTGTAGCTTCCACACTAGACCTCAACTAGGCTGGAGGTGGCTTCTGGGCTGCCCTCCCCATGGCCTTGGGCTTCACACTCGGACAGCTTTTGGTTGGGGACTGGTGATCCAACCTTGCCTTCCTCACACCCCTGCTGGCCCTCACTCACCTGCTGTGTTTGCTGGAGGCTGAGCAGGTGCTGTAGTTTAGCCACGTGGTCTTGAGGCACCAGCCGGCCCACCTGCTCCTGTAGCTGCTGGACCTCCTGAGAGTGCTGGGACTGGGCCAGCTTCAGCCTCTGCTGGGCTCCCTGCAACTGCATGGGAGAAGAGACGACTGTTCCGGTGTGACTGCTGAGAGCCTCGGGGCCAGTGGCAGACACAGCAGCAAAGGTGCTGGCGAGCTATTCTCATGTTCAAGGACACCCACATCTGGAGGGGCAAGGCAGGCATGCTCCCTTCTGTGTGGTCCCTGAGCACACAGCAACACCCAGGAAGTCATGGAGAATCCATTTATTTGGAATTCTGACAGCCGAACTCCCATTGACCCAGAGCTTCTATACAATTAGAATCAAGAAAACTGTGTCCACCATCCTATTGGATTCATGGGAGTATCAGGTACTGTTGCATCCACCGTTACTTTTTGGCATCCTTCACTACAGACTAATTCTTTTTTGAGACAGGGTCTTGCTCTGTTGGTGGGCTAGAATGCAGTGGTGTCATCATAGCTCACTGCCTCAGCCTCCAACTCCTGGGCTCCAGCAATCCTCCTGCCTCAGCCTCCCAAGTAACTGGGACTACAGGCATGCACCACCATGCCGGGCTAATTTTTAAATTTTTTATAGAAATAGGGTCTCACTCTTGCTCAGGCTGGTCTCAAACTCTTGGGCTCAAGCAATCCTCTTGTCTTGGCCTCCCAAAGTGCTAGGATTACAGGTGTGAGCCACTGTGCCTGGCCTAGAGCCTAGTTCTTTTAAAACAATAACCCATGTAAGCCAGACATGGTAATTTTCATTTAAGTGGAGAGTTTATACTGAGACACAGCTGCAGCCCGAGGTCACAGATCCTAATTAAACACATATGGAATGTTGAAGGAAGTTGGGGTCAGGTGTGGAATTAACTGCAGTACCTGGTTCCCAAGCCTATAGGATGACACAGCATCTGCTGAAGTTACGATTGGTTATTATTGCTGAACTATGTATAACTTAGTCAACTCTTTTTATTAAGCAACTGGAGGTCAGATGTAAATACAGTTTCAATCAATTTGACTCTGGAGGATTCATCTAGACCACACAGGATCTCCTTGGCACCCTAAAAGAGGTGGCCATGCCACCTCTTACCTGTGAGACCCCACAGACCAGAGCGGGAGTCACGGCTCCATTGAGAGTCACATTTGAGGCAGGTGTGATGTGACCACATGGTCAAGAAAAGGGAAGACGCCAGCTATTGCCACACAAGGAAAAGCACGAGTCACTGCAGCCTGTGAGGGCCGGGACATGACCCTCGGCCCCAGCCTCCGTCCTGCCTGGCTGTCCCTCTGCGGTCACTGTGTGGATGACTCAGGAGGCCGCATTATCACCACTGTCAGTGTGAAGCTCACCTTTGTCTATGGTGGGGGTGGCCCCAGAGAGACGCCCCTGCACACTAGGTCTCCAAGCCCTGGAGGGCAGCTTATCATTTGAGATGGAAAGACAGGGAAGAACCAGTTCTAAATCGCATGCCTCCAAACACGGCCTCCTCCCGACTTTCCCATTTCAGAGAGTCAGCCAGGTCTCAAGAGCACCTGGCCACCCAGAAAGGCTCCTGCCCTCCACCCTGCCTGCTCTGATGCTCGCTCTCTTTGACCGTGCCATCCCCACGGCCACCCTGGGATGAACCCGCTGACGAAGCCCCTCCACGGCGAGGCCAGGGTCTGGCCCCAGTGGGCTCTCCTATGGTGAGTGGTCCATAAACACCTGCTGAACAGAACGCCATCCCAGGCCTTTCATTCCATTCCAGGCTAGCCCAGCCGAATGTGGTGGGTGGGTGAGCGTCGTGGAACTCCCAGGTAAGGCCCTAGGGGACCCTGCAGCTCCTGTCTGCATCTCTCGTGGCCTCACTGCTGGGCTCCGAGCACTCCATGCCGCAGAGGCCACGTGGGGGCTCCTGTCCACTGGGCTCCAAGCCACCAGCCAGCGCCATAGCCGGGCGCGCGCGAGAGCTGCCTTGGACGCCAGCCCAGCCGAGCCTGCAGCTGCCCAAGGCAGGCCCCAGGTGGGAAGGGCCCAGCTGAGCCCAGCCAGCCCACGGATCCTGAAGGATGATGACAGAAGGGCCACTAGGCTTAGGGATGGCTTGTTATGATGTCATACAGAACTAGGACTGGGGTCCCCACAGGCTGTGACGTGGCAGCACTGTGCTGGCTTCCTGGCTAGTACCTGTCCCGCCTGCTCTGTCTGTGGCCTTCGGGGGCCTTCCTCATCTGAACCACCCAATGGCATGACAGTGACCACCCTGGCTTCCTGCATCTGACCCACCCTCTCTTCGCCACCCCAGGGAGCCCTATCTGCCTGTTCCACACTATCCTGTGAGCCCCTGCTTCCCTTATGCTGACTCGCAGCCACGTGCTTTTGGGGGGTCTTCCTCTAAACCATGAGGAAGAAGGGGACACCAGCTTACACGGACAGACCTAAGCGAGGTACCTTTTGGACCCTGACATGGCTGGTGGCGGACGGGACCCCGGCGGGTGTGGAGCCCTCTCCGGCAGCCTCGGCAGTGGCTCTCACCAGCGGGTGCTGAGTAGGCGCTGGCTTTTTCAGCGGGCTCTTACTCCTGAGCCTTGAAGGACACAGACTGGCCATGGAAGCTTTTAAGGTTCCTTTTCATCTTAAAAGGAAGGGCACCCAAACATGCAGAGGCACCTCTGGGAAACTGCTACAGCGGCAGGGCTGAGTCCACAGGAACCCCAAGAGCACATCAGAGGCCCCTCTTTCCTCCTGCAGCCCCGGCACTCCAAGTGTACCCCATACCCGTGTCTACACTGGGCCCTCGGCCCTCAGGGCATCTCTGGCTGTCACATACCTGGTTCCTCTCCTCCCCCTGGAGCCCCTCCTCCTGCGAACATCCCCTGGGAAGAACTGTCCCTTCCAAGCCCGAGGTCCCCATGGGGCTCGCCCTGCACACGTCTGTCTGTCTGCCCCAGACTGCAAGCTCCCTGCCGCAGCCTGTGTTTGCACCTCCTGCGGCTTTTCTCCCTCACAGCCAGCAGATTCCACGGTGTCATGGCATGCACGTGAGTATGTGCACACGCGAGGCAGGGCACAGAGCTTGTGAGCCAGACACCAACCCTCAGGTGCCACGCCCATATAACTTCAGCTCCTCCATGACTCTTCACGTGACTTGCTCAAGACCAAACCAACCATGGGCTAGGGCAACTTCAGTCCTGGGCCTGTTAAGTGCCTAACTGTGTAACCTCAGGCCACATCAACAACCTCTCTGGGCTGCACTAGGCCTAGCAGTGCTCTGTTGGCATCATAGGGACACTGCTCCCAGGCTGGGACGGGAACCAGCACCTCCAGCCACCACTTGCACCCACCTGGTCTTGACTCTCTTCAAGGGTCTTTGTCAGTTCTGACTGGGACAGTCTCAGGCTCTGACATTCTTGATTCACACGTTCAAGTTCAACTTCAAGTTTTTGGATTTGGTCACTCTGTTTTTTAAATAATCAAGTTTACAAGTACAAGAAATATCTTAGCAGTCTGATTTGTGATTGATGCAGAAACTTCAGAAAATTACAGAAAAGAAAAAATTACAAAATTTAAATCCCCCAGGACCCCACCAGCCAAGGCTCACCCCAACATTCTGCTGTAATTCTTTCACCCGTCTACTATATGTACACACATCTATCGAGATGATGGTCTCAGAAAACATACAGTGTCCTAGCTGTGCTTTCTTCCTTATTATAGCTTGAGCATTTCCCATGACATTACATATGATTTGAAAACATAGGTTTTTGTGGCTGCACCATGATTTACTAACTCATTCACCTACTTTTGATGACTCAAGCTGGTTCCAATTTTGTTTTGCTATTATAAATAGCACAGCAACAAAAATACTCCAGCTAAATCTTTCCTCAGTGCTCTTAAGATAAAACTTCCATAAGCTGAATTATGAAGTCAACGCATGGGGACATTCTTAAGGTACTTGCCCTCCAGGAAGGTTGTACCAATTTACTCTGTCATCAGCATTTAAAGCCGTTCTTCCCCTTTTTCTGGATACTGTGGATTTGCAAATGCCACTCAGTCCACTTATTTCTCCAGGGCTTGCTTGGGAAGTCACTCACCTTACTGCTGGGTGACGCCTCCCTTTAGGCTCCCAGAGCTTGTCCTAACCTGTCTGCGCCTGCCTCCCCAACCCGGCCCCCACTCGCCTGCTGCTCTCCCCGGCGCCCTGCCTCCTCCAGGCTCTGTGTGAGCAGCTGGATGGTGGTGCGACTCTCCTCATTCTGGGCCTGGCGGGTAGAAGCCTCCTCTCGCAGCTGAAGGACACTGTGGTTGAGCTGGGACAATTGATCCTTGTATTTCTGACTCTAAAGCAAAAAAAGGTTAAAACACAGATTTTAAAAAAAAAAGTTTTTAAACTAGCTCAATTCAGATCATTCATTTTTTTTTTTTCCTGAGACAGAGTCTCGCTTTGTTGCCCAGGCTAGAGTGAGTGCCATTGCGTCAGCCTAGCTCACAGCAACCTCAAACTCCTGGGCTCAAACGATCCTCCTGCCTCAGCCTCCCGAGTAGCTGGGACTACAGGCATGCGTCACCACGCCCAGCTAATTTTTTCTACATATATTAGTTGGCCAATTAATTTCTTTGTATTTATAGTAGAGACGGGGTCTCGCTCTTGCTCAGGTTGGTTTCAAACTCCTGACCTCGAGCAATCCGCCCACCTTGGCCTCCCAGAGTGCTAGGATTACAGGCGTGAGCCATGGTGCCCGGCCCAGATCATTCTGATAGCTCTCAATGAGGGGTGGCTTGCTCTCCAGGGGACATCTGACAATGCCTCCACAGACCTGATTGTCAGAATTGGGGGAGGGGAAGCGAACGGCATCTTACAACACAGAGGATGATCTGACCCCTAATGCCAGGAATGCCAAGGACAGAATCTCTGCTCTGTTCCCTACGAGAAACAGACGTGGTTATGCGCTGTGACCATCGGAACCATTGTTCTGAAGACCCTTCACATATTTCTCATTTCCCTCGTTGGTTATTTCTAATATATTTTAAGCAATTTTAAGGAAAAAACAACCTAATTAAACTTGACGTATATAAATCTCTTCAAAATCTCCTCTGATCTCTGTTGCTGAACATACAGATGTAGCTCTCGGCAGCGTGCGTGTGTTCATGAAACTGTATATCTTGCATCTCCCAACAGCTGCGGCCCAGCTGTGACTGGCGGCAAGCGCTGGGCGGTGAGCCGGCGAGGCAGCAGCGGGAGAGCTGGGCCTACGCGCTCTCACCATGGAAATTCTAGCTATTTTCAATTATTCATCGTGACTATCTTCACACGGACCACATTTTTGCCTATTTGCTCCTTCCCACAGCAGTTTTCAGGGCAGAGGGTGCCAGCAGCTCTCGGGGGTTTTCCGAGCAACGTCCGCTAAGCCACTCGGCACCGCTGGTGACACACAGCGCCTGCCCTGGGGACGGGGCTGCCGACATGTGACTTCTGCGGGTTCACCAAGCACATGATGGAACCCTGAAGTGGTTTCAATCTGGGTTCCCGTGAGGTTAGCAAGTGTACACATCTTTCTCATGATGCTTTCTCATATTCCTCTCTGTAATTAACCCTCACCTCATCCTTACCTGGAACTGCAGGAACGCGGGCAAGAGAAGCTTCCACCTGCCATAAGCTCGTGACAGTCACACCTGGCATAGAGCTCACTCACGTGTTTATTACACTTTATTGTGAAAACTAAATTGTTTTTTAATACCAATACATATTCATCCTGTCCTCTGAGAACAACTTTGATTTCATTAACAGAATGGAATCTTCCTCAACTCCTGAAATAAGCACACTAGTTGATTTTCTTCTATGCACCTTTAAAATTCAAACTATTAGTTTGGAAAAAATTTCAAACTTACAGACAGTTGCAAGAATAGAACATTGCAAGGGAAGCCCACACACCCTCCAGCCAGACTCACAGCGACAGCACCTTCCCCGTCTGCTCTGCCACCTGTGCTCTGTGCACACACGCATGTGCACACACAAAATGCCTTCTCGCCAGCGCAGCCCTGCCACGCGCCTCCTGTGCACAGGAGTGCTCTCCCCACGGCTGCTGTGCAGCTGCTCTGCAGGACGGTGGTCCTGACGTCCCCACACTGCAGCTTTGTCAACTTGCCCGACAATGTCTTTAGAGCCCCCTCCCCAGCACAGGATCAGGTGGTGCCTCTGTCATGCTGGCTTAGCCTACTACAATCTGGAATGTTTCCACAGCCTTTGCCTTTTATGACTTTGACATTATTTATCTTTTAAGAGACAGAGTCTAGCTCTGTTGCCCGGACTCGAAAGCAGTGATGTGATCTCGGCTCACTGGAACGTGCAACTCCTGGGCTCCAGCAATCCCCTGCTCAGCCTCCCAAGTAGCTGGGAAGACCAGCGTGAGCCACCATGCTCAGCCAGCTTTGGTGTTTCCAACAATTACTGTTCTCCTCTCCCCTATTTTAATAGTTCATTTGGGCTTGTCTATTGCTTCCTTCTAAGCCAGGTGACATGTCCCTGGCCAGACACTGCACGGGTGACACTGTGACTTCTCAGGGCCTTGCATCAGGAGGCACTCATGCCACCCGCCTCTGGTGATGTTCATGTTGATCACCTCTTTGATTTCTAACTTTCATTCATCTGGCTTTTGTCACAGAAGCTGATATGAGATATCAGCAGCCATCTTCTGGGCATGTGTTAAAACAAATGGATATTTGTCTCAAATGTTTTTCCTAAATCTAACCAAATCCTTAGGCATGATTTCTGGTTTACAAGACAAACAAGTGACACGGGACCAGACTGACCCACACTCTCAGGAAACAGCTAGACAAATCCAGAATGTGGGATGGCCCAGGAGACAACTGTCTGGTCTTGTCCTAAAGGCAGTGTTGGGGGTCAGGGTGGGGGGGCAGCAGTTCTGGACAAAAGACTAAGGGACACTGCAGCAGACTTGTAGTGTCCAAAGACATCTCCGACAGCATCTTCCCTCCCACATCCTCTTTTGCACCGTGACCTGGACACTCGCCCATCAGAGGAGCCTCCCTGGGGCTCCAGGGACAGGGTGGGTGCCACACGGAACAACTTCCAAGGAGGGGTCAGAGCCCTTTCACTTGGCCCTCGGGAACACTCACTCCCCGACGCCTCCCTCATAACACCCCCTAAGACCCAGCCCACAAGAGGAGAGGCCCACAGACATGTGGAACAACAGTTGCATGTGGAAGGAAACCCCCCCCCAGGACTCCAGCCCTGGCCACTCAGGTCACCCCAGCTGCACAGTGCTCCCCAGGCCGTCCAAGCTGTGCCCCTGGGAAGCGCAAACCACAGCCTCCCTGAGCGCAATCAAGCAGTAGGTTTATGCTAATTTTTTCTATTTTTGGTAGAGATGGGGTTTTGCTCTTGCTCAGGCTGGTCTCAAACTCCTGACTCAAAGCAATTCTCCTACCTAGCGGCCTCCCAGAGTGCTAGGATTACAGGCGTCAGCCACTGCGCCCGGCCTGATAGTTCAATACAATGTAATAGAATTGATAGTTACAAATAACGTGTCAACCTCAACTGGATCCTAGTGCCAAAAATTTACTATATAAGACACATTTTACTAACTGGAGAAATGTGAATATGGTCTGAATAATGACGATATTAATTATTGTTAAATTTCTTAAGTGTGATAGCCCTACAGTGATTGGGTAGAAGATGCACTTATTTTTAGGACATGCCTGCTGAAATATTTAGGCGTGAAGTATCATGATACCTGTAACTTCCTTTTGTTCTTTTTAGTCTATTTTTTAATTTAAAATGTTTTTTAAAAATTTCTCTAACTTTCAAATGGTTCAGAAAACACACAGGAAATATAAAGACAGATGTAAACAGAACTAAAGCACATATGGCAATGCTAATATAGTTGCCTCAATGCTGGGACATGTGGGTGATAACTGTATGTTAATTTCAACGTTTCTGTGTCTGATGTTTTTCATAGTAAAAATTTGGGGGAAGAGAACAATGGGTACTTATAATCCACTTTTGAAGCTGCTACAGAGACAAACTGGAAAGAGAAGGGTGGGGCAGCCACTCTGGGCCCAGGAAAGCCCCAGAGAGGTCACTTCCACACGAAGCTGGACTGCCGGCAAATGCAGCGTCTTAAGTGTTCGGCGTCAGTGAATCCACGGCACATCCTCCTAACGGAGGAGGCCCGGGCACGGCTCCCACACACTCACCATGGAAACGCACAACAGTGCTGGAGCCAGACAAGCCACCCGCCTGCTGGCGTCTGCCGCAGTTTCCGCAGCAAAACCACCCTTCTCAGCCATGCGGGAATAGAGGTGGCAGGGGAGGAGAGTCATAGGGACTTATCTCAGGGGTGGAACAGGGGTTGAGACACACAAGTGATTAAAAAAGCTGCTAGAACTAATGGCTGAGTTCAGCAATGTCGCAGGATGCAAGGTCAGTGTACAAAAATCGATTGTATTTCTGTATACTAACAACGTGCAGAAACTCAAAAACAAACAAACTGCTACTTCTGGTTTCAGGTGTGACACATAAAGTGCTTGGAATTCATCTCTGCCATCTTCCCAAAAGAAATAAGCTGAACAAAATGAGTATGAACAACTCTTAGGTTCATCAGAGGATTTTAGGAGATTAGGGTTAAATGAGGTCACAGAGGTGGGGTCCTAATCCAACAGGATTGCTGCCCTCATAAGGAGAGGGCTCTCTCCCTGCCACTCGAGGGGACAGTGAGGAGGCAGCAGGCCAGGAACCAAACCGGCCTCCAGAACCTGGAGAAATACATTTCTGCTGCTTATGCCACTCAGTCCGTGGTGTTTTGTACGGCAGCCCACACAGACTGAGACACTAACCACTCCGAAGTAAACCCAGAGCACTCTGTCCTCCTGCCCTCAAGGAGAATGACTTCCCCAGAGTGTAACCAACACGGGGGAAGGGAGAGACCCAACTGCTGCCCCCTGGAGCCTGCCTGCACCTGTGGGGACGGCTACAGTGGAAAAGAGCGCAAACGCCAAATGCTGGTGAGGACCCAAGAAACTGATGGCACACATGCCGCTGGGGGGGCGTAAAATGTCACAGCCACTCTGCTACAACAAACTGTGCTATGTCCCTACCGCAGCGCACTCAGCAATAAAAAGAAACTACTGATACACATGACATTTGGACGACATTCTAGAGAATTATGAAGTGTGAAAAAAGTCAATCCTAAAGGTCACATTCTGTACCATTCCAGTTATGTAATATTTTGAAATGACAAAATTTTAGAAATGGAGGACAGATCAGTGGTTGTCAGGGGAATATGGCTGGGTTTGGGTGGGCAGGAAGGTGGTTGGTGGGATTATAAAACTGCAGCACTGGCCAGGCGCGGTGGAGCACACCTGTAATCCTAGCTCTCTGGGAGGTCGAGGCGGGAGGATTGCTCAAGGTCAGGAGTTCAAAACCAGCCTGAGCAAGAGCGAGACCCCGTCTCTACTATAAATACAAAGAAATTAATTGGCCAACAAATATATATATAGAAAAAATTGGCCGGGCATGGTGGCACATGCCTGTAGTCCCAGCTACAGGGAGGGAGGCTGAGGCAGGAGGATTGCCTGAGCCCAGGAGTTTGACACTGCTGTGAGCTAGGCTGACGCCACAGCACTCACTCTAGCCTAGGCAACAGAGTGAGACTCCGTCTCAAAAAATAAAAAATAGAAAAAGAAAATGGCAGCACAAGGGAGCCTTGTAATGCTGGAAGTAGTATCTCCACTGTGTGGACACATGACCCTACACTGACGATAAAACTGTATAGACTCTAACTCACACACACACACACCCTGTATACACACACCACACACAAATACACACCCCCACACCATACACACACACACCCCACCTGTACACACACCACATACACACACACCCCCACACCACCTGTACATACACCACACCCACACATACCCCACCCATATATACATATGCACACACACAAATGAAAAAACAAGTAAAACTGGGGAAATCTAAGAATAATCCACAGACTGCATCAATGTTAATATATTGGTTGTGATACTCATTACGGGCTGAATTGTGTTCCCCACGAAATTCTTATGTTCAAGTCCTAAACTCCAGTACCTCAGGATGTAGATGCATTTGGAGAGGGGGACTTAAAATGATAAATGAGGTAAAATGAGGTCGCATCAGTGTGCCCTGGTCCAATCTGACTGGTGTCCTTGTAAGAAGAGATTAGGACACAGACATGCACAGCAGGGTGACCACGCGAAGACACACGGAGAAGTCACCACTTACAAGTCAAAAGGGAGGCCCCAGAAGAAACCAAGCCTGCCGGCACCTCGTTCTTAGACTTCACCCCCAGAACTGCCCCCGTCTGTGGTGCCTTCTTACGGCAATCCAAGAAGACTAATACGCAGATATGACACTATAGTATAGAGAATGTCACCAGTATTGGAAACTGAGTAAAGTGTAAAGGGATTTCTATTTCTCACAATTAGATATGAGTCTAAAATTATCAATAAAAACTTCAGTTAAAAAACAATAAACAAGGATGACAAATGCCAGCTTGTGTGCCTCTTTCTTAAAAATTCAGTCCAAAAGCCAGTAAGTGGGACTGAGCACAGAAGGCATTTGTGCATAGGGTGAAAGGAGAACCAGTGTGGGGGAGGTGGTGCCCAGTCAGGGTAAGAAGGGCATCTACACAGGGGCAAAGGAACGCTGATCAAATAAAAAGTAAATACGCTGAGGAAGATAGAAACCAGGCCTCTCGATTGCTGGAGAAATGAGTTATAAATATGGAAATGGAGAAAACTAGAATTATCCCTGTCATGTTGGGTGGGAAATGCAGATATGAGCTTGAATTTGTGGTTTACAATATAGAGAGATGTACAAATAAATATACTTGAGACCACATGCACATAGTACATGTGCGCATATAAACACACACACACATTTCCTGGCTAAATCCACTAAGAGCACCTGAAAGCAGCAGAAGCAATGAGTGCATCTAGTGCCCAGATCCTGGTCATTAAATATTACCCTTCTATACTGAAAGTAACCAAAAGCTCCTTGGAGAAGTGGCTGCTTCCAGGGCTGGGGCAGGCAAAGTATCAGATGAACCTGGAACATCTTGGGGTAGCAGAAAGGAAGTGCTCAAAGAATGATTGGGACCTGTCCAAAGACATAGAAGCCACCCTGAAGGGGCTCCCCTTGGCTAAATCTGGGACAATGTGAGCATCAAAATAAATGTGACAAAAAACAAAAAACAAAAAAACAAAATAAATGTGACAGTAATATATTACAACCCATTGTATAAAAGAGGAATCTATGATATTATAATGATACAATAAATAAATGGGGACAAAAAGCTCTTCCTTGTAGAATGACAACTACTAAATGTAAAACAATAGTGGGATTAGTCACCAGTTGGTCACCATCATAGTAATAAATGACTCCACCAAGAAATGAAAGGCTGGTAAAACTCAGAGGTGAGATTTTGATGACGAAAGGATATTTACAAATATCAAAGTCTCCCCCCATAAAATACTACAAAGAGTATTTTTGTAATTTAAAAAATTACAAAGAGAAAAGTAACTTTACTGTGGAGAAGCCTGGCCAACATCACCTTCAACCAAGTGACCAAAGGTAACATGAGCAATGGGACAAATTATTGCAACCCTGGATGGGGTGAAATGAGGACGACACAGTATCACTTCTGAGTTATTCCTGCCAAAAACAGATAACGTGATTCAAATTACCAGGAAACATCAGACAAATGGAAATGGAGGGACTTCCTACAAAATAACCAGCTGTGCTCTTGAAAATGTCAAGGCCCTAAAAACCAAGGACTGATCACAGGGGACAAAATGCCACACATGACTCTGAACATTACTGGGACCACCAGCAAACCTGACTGGGGTGGGGTCTTCACAGACATGATGGGGGCTGCTCAACAATTCACTCTCAAATCTTTTAGGAAAAAGTTCTCTATTTCCTTTCCCTAAGTGTGAAATTATCTCAAAATAATGAAAGAAGGCAGAAAGGCATTGATTCCATGCCAGGTATCAATACTTGACCTGTTTGCTGAGCTCCTCCATGTCAAAGCAGGCCTTTTCCTTGTCTCTCTTTAAAGCTTCAATTTCCCTCCTGTTGAAGAAGCAAAATTAACAACGTCACTTCTGACCAACCAGGCTCTTATTCCCTGGTCACCACCCAGTGTGCCATCAGCAGCCTAGATCTGTACCCACATCACAGACGCTCACACCTGCTCCTGCCATTCCACAGCCACTCACTGTCCCTACAGCTACATTATTGCTGCCGCTGCTAATGACAATGATGACCCAACCCTGATCCCAAATCACAGAGAATCTAGAGATGTGAAATTGTTCAGATTCTCAGAGAAATCATACATTGCCAGCATTTTTTTTTTTGAGAGAGACAGGGTCTGGCCGGGCATGGTGGCTCACGCCTGTAATCCTAGCACTCTGGGAGGCCGAGGCGGGCGGATCCCTCAAGATCAGGAGTTCAAAATCAGCCTTAGCAAGAGCGAGACCCCGTCTCTACTAAAAATAGAAAGAAATTAATTAGCCAACTAATATATATAGAAAAAATTAGCCGGGCATGGTGGCACATGCCTGTAGTCCCAGCTACTTGGGAGGCTGAGGCAGCAGGATTGCTTGCACCCAGGAGTTTGAGGTTGCTGTGAGCTAGGCTGCCGCCACGGCACTCACTCTAGCCTTGGCAACAAATCGAGACTCTGTCTCACAAAAAAAAAAAGAGAGAGACAGGGTCTATCTCCTTCACCCAGGTTGGAATGCAGTGGTGCTATCATATAGCTCACTGCAACTTCAAATGCTTGGGCTCAAGTCATCCTCCTGCCTCAACCTCCCAAGTGGCTGGGACTACAGGCACATGCCACCATGCCCAGCTAATATTTCTATTTTTTGTAGAGACAGTACTGGGATTCCAGGCATGAGCCCAGCATTGTGCCCAACCCCACTGCCAGTATTGTAAGAATAAACACCCTCTGTGACATCCCTCAATGACACACATTAATATTTCTTTTGTAAAACATGTAACTATTCACACCCAGCAGCATAAATAAAGATGGAAACAGCCTTGCACCTGCTGAGGTCTGTTGTTCAAGGGGCTCTGGCTTACAAACTCAAGAAAAAAAGTGATTGCTAAAGGAAAACAATTAAATCTCAAAATTAATAGTAATCACTTGTTACCACCTACTCTGGATTCTATACTTTAATCATCACGGTACTTTTCTCATCTCAGAAAAACATACTCAGTATTTTAGTGCTAAGCTCATCTTGAAAGTCACATGGGGTGGGGTGGGGAAGGCCAAAGAAACTGTCTTTGGATATGGCTTCCGCCGTCACAGCAGAAATCCCCCTCCCCCAACACACACCCCAGCTCCTCTCCTGTTTCAGTGCTCAGTCCCGGCCCCTCCCCATGCCCACTGTCCTCCCCCAGCTCTGAACTTCAGAGAAAAGCAGAGCTGAAACTATTATCAAGACATGACCAAACAGGTTCTACTTGCCAGGAGGGCACTTCTGACCCCTGCAAGAACAAGCAAAGCCTTTCCCAGCCCCTAAGCGCCAGGTGGAGCATTTCGGTATGGTCTGAGAAGTGCCTGTGTATCAATTCCCAAGGCAAGCAGCCTCTGGTGTGGGCCGTTCTGCGCCAAGGGGCTTGGGAGGTAAGGCTCCGCACATGTGTGGGAGGCTGGAGCCCTCCGTGCCTGTCAAGTCTGTTAAGAGGTCTACAAGGCTCACCTACGTAGGGTTTTCTGGAGTGCAGGGCTGACCTGCAAATACTTCCCACTTTCTCTGTGGGTACCTTCTAACTCTACAGAGAGCAAAATGTCCCACTGACGGGAAGGTCTGGACGGGAGCTGCCGAGATGCATCTTGTTTCCTCACCTCTGTGCATCATTGGTGCTTTCTGCAGCTTCAAGCTCTTGCTGAATCCTTCCCAGATCATTTTTCAACACAGTGTTTTCTTCAGAGAGCCTATGAAATTCGATTCTGCATGAAAAATTGAGAAAAAACTGGTAAGCACTTGAGGAGAGCTGGCTGCCACGTGCACGGGGTAAGCCTGGTTCCGTAACACGAGCCTGGCTCGGGCTTGGAAACCGTGCCGTCCCCACGTCCCCTCCCCTGAAGGAGCCACCGGGCACTCTTCCTTCCCCTCTGCCTCTAACCAGTGTTAACATTTTGCATCTCCCAAGAGTCAAGCCACAGAAAACAAAGCTTTCTTAACTTCTAAACTGGTAGACCATGGACAACTTACTAACGCTCTCAAAACCTTGGTTTCATTTACTTTGTGTTTATGGCTGCCCAGTTCCTGCATCTTATGACCTCTAACCGAACACATGCATATACTGGGTACCAATGCTAAATGCTGGGCCTGAGTCCTCGGGTATTGCAAAGGGTATTTGACTCTGCCAGTGAACTCCAGCATGGAGCCAAGAGACACAAGGAATCAGAAGGCCAAAATACATGGGACACATTCTCCTCTTTAGTGACAGTCCCACCCATCCTACACTCTGAGGTCAGCCCTAGGAGAAACTTAGGGAAGTGCCCACATTGATTTATGGAGAGACACCTGATGCTAGGTGAACCCCCAAGTGGGAAAAAGCAGGAATACACAGCTACTACATGGGCTAAGTCTGCCTGGTGTCACCTTTGTTTTCTGACAACTCTAAGAGAGTCTCTGGTTAGTTTAACACCATCAATTTATGACACATGACAAATTTACCAATAAAGATCACTAATGAGACAACTTAAAACCGATACTTGCTACCCACAAAATTTATTCTTAATACAGGTTGGTCTAGCTGACATTTATTCCCCCCAGTAGGTCTTTATATGGCATTACCTTCTAATTTTTTTAAATCTAAAAACATTCAAAGCCACACAATCTCATCGTGTTCACTTTATGTATTAAGCTTATAATAATTAAGTATAAGTATCTCCTTCATATGACTTCATTTTATCTCATGAGGAACTAATGAGAAAAATAAAGAGACAGAAGTCACTGGAATTTTAAAAGCAGCAGAGGGTTTCAAGCAGGGGAGTGAAACAAATGAGATCTGTGTTTTGAAATGATCACTCTGGCTCTAGCATGGAAAACAAATTGATGTAAGGCACGATGAGGGGGGGAGAGGGGTGGGAGAGGGAGAAGGGGAAGAGGGAGAGGGCGGGGAACAGGGGAGGGGGGGAGGGATTTCTACTTCCAGTTGCTTGGAGCCCAGATAAGCTGAAGGGTGCCCACTCTCATCCCCTACACAATTGCCAAACAACTAGATCCTGTGGGAAGCTGATTGTATAGTGACTGTCCTCATAGAAAGCAATGGAAACCTCCAAGAGCCTCCAACAGAACAAAAACCCGGAAGCTCAAACCAAAGCTGTGAGCATTATGCAATACAAAGCTGGAGTGACGCTGCAACCAACGCCTACATCAGCACCACTAACAGCAGGGTGGAGAAACTGCACTGCAGACACCTGCAAAAGTCGGGGCCCTGGAAGGAGGTTCAAGTGGTCCTAGATTAGCAGCCCCTCGCTTCTCTGCAAAAGCATCCTCTATAAGGTACCCAAGGTTCCCAGAGATTAACATCAGGCAAACATTGAGTTCATAAACAACGATCAGCATAACATACATGAAAAAAAGCCACCCATAAGAGATAGCAAAAGCAAAAAAATTGGGCCAGGTGTGGTGGCTCATGCCTGTAATCCTAGCAGTCTGGGAGGCCAAGGCAGGCGGATTGCTCAAGGTCAAGAGTTCGAAACCAGCCTGAACAAGAGTGAGACCCCACCTCTACTAAAAATAGAAAGAAATTTAATTGGCCAACTAAAAATATATAGAAAAAATTAGCTGGGGCATGGTGGTACATGCCTGTAGTCCCAGCTACTTGGGAGGCTGAGACTGAAGGATTGCTTGAGCCCAGGACTTTGAGGTTGCTGTAGGCTAGGCTGATGTCATGGCACTCTAGCCCAGGCAACAGAGTGAGACTGTCTCCAAAAAAAAAAAAAGAAAAAAAAAGCAAAACAAACAGAATTAGATCCTCTAGGAACTTCAAGTATTGGAATTATCAGACACAAACCAAAAATACATGCTATGAAATGTTGACATAATAAAATATGGAAATAAAAACCAAATAAGAAACTATCAACAATGATCACATAGAACTAAAAGAATTTTTAGAAATAAAGTCAATGTCAAAATAAAAGCTCAAGCTGGGGTGCAGTGACTCACACCTGTAATCCCAGGACTTTTGGGGAGGCAGAGAATCACTTGAGGCCACAGCAACATAGTGAGACCTCTTCTTTGCAAAAAGTTTTTAAAAATTAGACCTTTTAGTCTGGACAGATAAGGCTAAGAAAAAAAAAAAAATAGCTGAGCTTGGGGGCACATGCCTGTAGTTCTAGCTACTTGGGAGGCTGAGGCAGGAGGACTGCTTAAGCCGAGGGATTCCAGGCTGCAATGAGCTATGATGGATCCACCACACTCCACCCTAGAGCGAGACTCCATCTCTAAAGAAAATAATAATAAAAAAAATTTTGAAAAATAAAAACTCACTGAATGGATTAAACAGCAGATTACTGTTAAACAGCAGAACTGAAGAAAGAAACACTGACTGGAACACAGAGATATTAAAAAAATTCCCCAAATATGACACACAGAGAACAGAAAATGGAAAATAGAAAACAGAAGGTGAGAAACGGTGGAAAACATGAAAAGATCTAACATCATCCATGTAATTGGAAAGAACAGTGAGAAGAGCCAATTTTTTTTTTTTTTTTGAGACAAAGTCTCGCTTTGTTGCCCAGGCTAGAGTGAGTGCCATGGCATCAGCCTAGCTCACAGCAACCTCAAACTCCTGGGCTCAAGCAATCCTACTGCCTCAGCCTCCTGAGTAGCTGGGACTACAGACATGAGCCACCATGCCCGGCTAATTTTTTGTATATATATTTTTAGTTGGTCAATTAATTTCTTTCTATTTTTAGTAGAGACTGGGTCTCGCTCTTGCTCAGGCTGGTTTCGAACTCCTGATCTCGAGCAATCCACCCGCCTCAGCTTCCCAGAGTGCTAGGATTACAGGCGTGAGCCACCACACCTGGGCCCCGAGAAGAGCCAATATTTTAACAGCAATAACTGAGAGGTTTTTGTAAGACACAATCCATACATGCAACAGGGACAATGTTTTCTAAGTAGGACAAGCAAAAATTAAACTATACATCTATGCCCAGCAATTCCCTTTCTAGGCCCACCCCAATATAATTGTTCCAAAAGGCATGTACAAGAACTTTCACTGCAATACTATTTCTGAGAGCCAAAACCTGGACACTACCAAACACCCAACAGAAGAAATAGAAAAGGATGGTACATTCACACAAGAGAATACACACAGCAGTGCATGTGAAGGATGACAGCGCGAGCAATATGACGACTCTCACAAACAGGCTGGACTAGAAAGAAGAAAGTTTTGTGAGTGTATAGCCACAAAAGAATATACGCTGTAAAACAAACAAAAGAGAATGTACACTGTATGATTCCTTTATACAAGGTACTAAAACAAGCAGAATTAATCTATGCTGTTGGAAGTCAGGATAGTGGTTATTATCCGCAGGGGACTTGGGTTTGGGAGTTCCCTGCCTTGTTCTGGGTGCTGGTAACACAAATGAGTTCAATTTGTTGAAAACGTTTCTAATTGTGCGTATGTGTACATTTTTCTCATGTATGTAACACTTTAATAAAAAGTTAAAGAAAGAAATACATACCAGAGAAAAACCACCAAAGATCTGAAGATCTTTTTTTTTTGAGACAAAGTCTTGCTTTGTTGCCCAGCCTAGAGTGAGTGCCGTGGCATCAGCCTAGCTCACAGCAACTCAAACTCCTGGGCTCAACAACCTCTGCTTCAGCCTCCGAGTAGCTGGGACTACAGGAATGCACCACCATGCGCCAGCTAATTTTTCTATATGTTTTAGTTGGCAATTAATTTCTTTCTATTTTTATAGAGACGGGGTCTCGCTCTTGCTCAGGCTGGTTTCGAACCCCTGACCTCGAGCGATCACCGCCTTGCCTCCCGAGTGCTAGATTACAGGCGTGAGCCACCGCACCTGGCCAGATCTTAAGATCTTAATTAGCCAGAGGAGAAAAGTCAGCAGGCACGATAATGACCTCTATAAGTTGTCCACATCCTAATCCTCAGAACCCGTGAATGTACCATTACCCAGCAGAGGGGAATTAAGGCTGACAATTATCTGATTTTAGACTATCCTGGGTAATCCAGGGGAGCCCAATATGATCACAAGAGTCCTTAAAAGTGGAGGCAGAGGCCGGGCGTGGTGGCTCACGCCTGTAATCCTAGCTCTCTGGGAGGCCGAGGCGGGCGGATTGCTCGAGGTCAGGAGTTCGAAACCAGCCTGAGCAAGAGTGAGACCCCGTCTCTACTATAAATAGAAAGAAATTAATTGGCCAAATAATATATATAGAAAAAATTAGCCGGGCATGGTGGCGCATGCCTGTAGCAGCCATTGGGAGGCTGAGGCAGAAGGATCGCTTGAGCCCAGGAGTTTGAGGTTGCTGTAGCTGCTGATGCCATGGCACTCATTCTAGCCTGGGCAACAAAGCGAGACTCTGTCTCAAAAAAAAAAAAAAAAAAGTGGAGGCAGACAGTCATTGTCAGAGTGATGTGAAATGAGAAAGACTCGGCCACCAACTGCTGGCTTCAAAGCCAGAAGGAAGCCATGAGCCAAGGAAGCTGGAAAACCGAAGGAAAGGGACTCTCCTCCAAGGTAATGCAGCCCTGCCAACACTCTAATTTCAGCCCAGTGATACACATTTCACTCTCCTAACCTCCAAGATATAAGAAAACAAGTGTGTTGTTTTAAGCCACTGAGTTGGTGGCTGGCCAGGGCTTGGATCGTGACCCCCAGCCACCCCGGCCAGAGGCTGTGAGCTTGTCAGCGGGAAAGGACGGATGCAGCAGCAACAGGATCAAGTGGGTTAGTTCTGCGTTTTAAGAATGGGTAGAAACCAAACCTGTCTTTCTCTCTTGAATCTGCTTCTTTCTCGAGAGCCCGGACGACATCTTCCAGCTGCAGAAGTTTGGTTTTCACGTCATTCTTTTCTTTCTCCAGTGCTGCATCGACCTCCATCTCCCCCGGGACGGCAAGCTGGGGCTGGGAGGGCAAGGACCCTCTCCTGGCACCCTCATCCCCAGCCTGCTCCTCCGAGGCCGGTCTCTGGACCCCCCCAGAGTCCAGCACCCTACTCCGGCTCCCAGCTCGCTCCTCTAGAACAGCTTGTGGCCTCTCAGCCTGTCCCCTCCCCGAGGAGGCTGGGCTTAGCTGTGGCCCCCAGCTCTGGGGCTGAGCTGGCCTGACATCTCCCTCCTGGGCTTCAGGCTGGCTCAGGTCCGCTGGACCCCTGGCAGAAGGCACTGATTCCCCTGGGACGGCCCCTCTGTCCACCCCATGTGGCTGCACACGTGACCACCTCTCTGGGGGAATAGAAGCCCCCTCCTCAGTGTTAAGCAAACCCTGACAGTTCTCTCTGACGCCGAGGCTCTCCGAGGGCCTACTGGCCACCAGGGCAGGGGCTGCAGCTGGGCTCTGCATGCCATCTACACAGCAGGGCTGGCCTGCCACATCCCTGCACCCGGCTTGTACACAGCCAGGGCCGCCTCCCGCCGGCTCCCCCATCTCTCCACCATCGCCCGGTTCCAGCCGGGCTGGAGGCTGCTCCCCACTGCCTGGACGTGGGGGCGTGAGGCCGTGTGCGCTCTCCTGTTCGCTCCTTGCCACTGGCAGACCGCCTTTCCAAAGAGCCCGCAGTGCCTCCACTTCCTGGGCAAGCTCTTCCACCTGCTTCCTGTAGGCAAGTTCTAACCTCTCCTTCTCAAGGGCGAATGACTTGCAAATCTGCGCCTGCTCTTCACTCATCAACTCCTGCAGCTTCAGCTGCTGCTTTCGACAGCGCGTGAGGATCTCCTCCTCCCTCTTTGCCTGCCGTCGCTTCTCCTGGTCGAGCTGCTCCGCCAGGTCGCTCACCTGCAGCAGGTGCTTCTGCAGCAGCTCATCCTTCTCGCGCTGATGCTGCAGGGACAGGTCCTCGCAGCGGGCGGCGTGCTGCACTTCCATCCATGACAGCTTCCGGCTCAGCTCGCCCTCAGCCTCTCTCCTGCAGAAACAGCTTGCGTCACGCACTGCAGGCACCTCCGGCTCTCGGCCCCAGACCCTCCTCTCGAGTTAGAAAAGGCCACCGAGCTTTCATTCTAACCACCTGTGTCCTCTCTCCTCAGCTGGCTTTTGTTACCCCTGCTCACCTCTCACGCACCCTGGGCTCCAACCCACACCCAGACCCTCCTTAGAGAGTCCAGCAGAGGATCACCAATGGGGTGAGTGAGGTTCTACACACGCAAGCCAACATGGAAGCCACCCGTCATACGGGCGTGTTTACATGTGCAATTAAATAGGATTAAAGTCCAGGCCCTCAGTCACACTAGCCACAGTTCGAGTGCTCTGTAGCTGTGTGCAGCTGGGGGCTGCCGACTGTACAGAGGAGACGTGGGACACGGCTCTCACGGCAGTGAGTTCTACAGGAGAGTGTTGGTGCCAAGACTTGGTGAGACGGGCAAAACGCACGGTAAGACTGCCCCTGACGATCCCTTAAGCTGCCGAGCCCAGGCGCTCGAGTCCAGTGGAAGTGAGGTTAGGCTGGGCAGAGCACTGAGTCTGGAAGGGCTGCTGCCCACTCCAGGCCAGGGCGGGCACAGCAAGTGACATGGGTCCATGCGGCTCCACCTCCATGTGGAGCGACCATGAGCCCCATGAGCCCGGCGGAGCAGCAAGAGTAGCTCCCCAGGAGCGAGGGGCCAGAGTGCGCCACGGCCTGCGATGGCTCAGGGTGGGCAGCTAGGCACATGCTCACCTGGATGCTGAGAGGAAGGAGCCACTCTCTACCTGTCCTGCCCCCCCAGCTCTCATGGAGTCCCTTATCACACATTCTTAGGCTGACAGCCCAGGGAAACACATGGGTGACAAATGACGTTTTATCTACCCTCCAGGACAGCAGCAGGTTCCCCAAGCCCTGGATGGCCTAGGGTCATCCTGGAGGGGAGGGAAGAGGGAGTGCTGATTCCTCATCACCTCCCACATCCTGCCACTCCCTCCCACCAAAAAGGGAAGTGCCCACCTTCTCCAGGTTTGGGGACATGATCTCCTGCTATCAGCACAGTGATGGGGGCCACCAACACCTGAACCCAACCAACCCCAAAGCAACATCCCTCTGCAGCAGCTGCACGGGTACGCAGCAGACCTATTTGGCCACAGCTGTCTGCTCACTGCGGCCAGGGGAGGCCCTGGTCCCACCGTGGGCTGGGGGTGGCCTGGCCAATACGGTGGACAGTATGGTGGATGGGGCCCCTCCTTGAGCAGAGGCATGCAAAGCTCTCCACAGGACAGCGGGTCCCAGCTGACCATCAGTGAGTCCACAATAACTTACTCTCCTCGGTCAGACTGGAGAGACAAGAACAGGCACGTGATCCTTTCTCATGTAATTCTGACACTAGAGTGCACAAAATACCAACTCTGGTTTTCTAAAAAAAAAAAACCTTTCCTCTCCAGGAGGATCGCCTGAACCCAGGCATTTCAGGTTGCAGTGAGCTATGATGATCCCACTGCACTCTAGCCTGGTTGATGGACAAAGAACTTGTTTAAAAAAAAAAAAAAAAGTCTTTCCTTCATTTGTGCACTTTAGCTTTTACAAGAATCTTACTAACCCAAACTGATCATCTTTCTCATTGTTTTAGGACTTTGGGGCTTTTTTTTCTCCATTTGCCTACGTGCTATAGCCCCTCACCGTGGAAAATGAGAATGTGATGTTAAATGATGGAGAATATGTTGCCCTTTGCTACCAGGCACATCTAAGGCAGAAGGGAAATGACATTAAATTTCTACACAGCAAATGGCTTCATGGCCCAAGATCTAGTGAATCTATAAAGTAAAATACTTATGCCAGGACCTGTTCTTTCAGCACTCACCCACCTGCCCAGAGAAGAATCACCCAGTTAGCATGCACTGCAATTCTCAGCACTTTATCTAAATCTAATTTCAAATGTTGGTCCTGGCCAAGAACCCCCAGGCATGAAATACTGACAGAAGCCAGGCAGACCTGATCTGCTGCAGCTGGCCCCGGTGTCTCAGGTGCAGCTCCTCCTCCAGCCGCAGGGCCAGGCTGGAGAGCGCCTGGGCGCAGCACGGCGCCAGCGCCAGGCCCAGCTGCTCCGGCTGGGGCCCGTGGGCCAAGTCCTGCAGCTGCTCCCGCAGGCCCTGGATGACCTCCTGAGACTTGGCGTGGAGCATCTCCAGGTCTGCTTTCTGCTCCTCCAGCACGCCGACCTCGCGCTTGTGAGCCTGCTCCATCTCCTTTCTCTCCTTCTCAAAGTCCCTTTTCATTACTTCGATTTCCCTCTCGTAGTAATTTACCTAAAAAGAGAAACATGAACAAGGCCCTAAAAATGGCCTTGCTGACAAACCCAACACAGAAACATGGGGCTGTCAGGAACAGCATCCAAAGAGCCGATGGCCCAGACCTGAGGAGGTATCAGGGTCTGTGGAAGGGACCAGGAACAGTCACCAAGGGTCCCATGTGGCTGCGCAGCACATTATCCCCTGGGAGACAGGTCTAGCAGGCGGCTCGGGGCCAAGCCGAGTTTGGCATACGGCCAGGCAGTGCACAGGGTGCAGAGCGTGTGACAACTACTGAGAGAACTGGGGAGCCTTGGCAAGGCCAGGGGTGCCTGGGAACACCCTGCAGACCCCTGATGGAAAGAACACTCTGGCCATGGTGGGCAAGGGCACATTGGGAGCTTCCAATTAATCCATGCAGGGAGCCCAAAGGCACAGCCGCAAGACAGAGGTGGCCCGCCTCCCTACACAGGTGGAAGAACTGGACACAAGACGAGATGTGGACACTGTCCCTTAAACACCTCTCCAACCTAGAAACACAGCAGGAGTAAGTTCATCCAAGAGGACAGCCTCAGCCAGGGTGGACCTGGCCATGAAGCCACCGAGTCCCCCGTAAATGCCAGGTCACTGAGGCTTGGAGCACAGCCAGTAACTGTGATTCCCGGCTGCAGAGGAGCAGGGAGGGCTGGCACAGCACGGCTGCCCTCCAGTGTCCCCATGACACTCCAGCGTGTAACACCATTCTCTCCCCGTTGTTAGTCATTCCCATGTCCCGCCTCCATCCCAAGAGAAAGGTTTGGGGCAGAACGTCTTCCCTACAAACGTCCCCTGGCGCCGGCTCACTGTGAGGCAGGGGACTCTAGGGCAGATGCAGAGCTGCGCCCGCACCTTGGTCTCCAGCTGGATCCTGAGGTCTCGGTGGTGCTCCTTCAGCTGCTCCATCATTATCTCCGTCTCTATACTCACTGGAGCAGAACTGCCTGTGAGCAAGATGCCTGCAAACAGGAGGACGTTTCCGTTCATGTCACACCAAGGATGCCACAGGGCCCCCCTCAAACACTCCAGAGACACTTGGACCCCATCAGGGAGAGGCACACGGCGCTGGCCGTAGGGTTGTGCTCATTTTGAAAGTTGGTGCTCCTTAGGAATCAGCGTTTCAGTTCTTTGTCAGAACACAGAGCACTCAGATACAGGCAGGAGGCTCCCTACAAGATCCATCAGGGCCCCTCCATGCCCTAAGAGACAGCAGTAGCATGGCACATTTGCCACACCCTGTTCTCTGACAATGCCAGATACACAGAGGAATGGGAGGACGGAGGACGGAGGACAGAGGGACCTGCTGCACTCACAGCAATGTGCAGATGGTCACAGGTGCACGAACAGAGCTTATCCTCCCACCCTGTGCGTTTTAGCTTCCCCCTTTTCTTGGTGCCCCTATGTTATTTACTATTACATCATACAAATGACGCAGGGCTCCAATTGATAAGGCCAGGACACTAAGCCCTGAGGCATAAAACAGCAACTCAATGTACTAAAAAGCACAAAACAAAAACAACCCCCAGTGAAATAAAGAATCTGACGCTGACAGGAAGGGACATACGAAGGCAGGCGACATACAGGTAGGTCCTGTGATGAGGCCACGGACCCACACGTGCCACCTGGGTGCAGGCAGCTCCTGACGTGTGTTGGGGGTCCCACTGCTAGGTTTTAATCTGGGTTGGGCCAGGGGCCAGGAAGGTGGGGAAAAGACACAGTTTCCAACTCTCACCCTCTCCTTCCATTTCCCAAATTATTTTCCATGAAAAAAAAGGTCACACACTCAGGGATGTGGGGGCCAAGAGAACTGAGGATAAGCACCTCAGGGCAGAAAGCATCTCATGGCCTTGGCCACCTGCAGCTGCCACCCCCTGGGCCCAGCAGCAGCTCTAGTGGATGCTTGTCACAGCTCTGGCGCCCACAGCACCCCCTCCACCACAATGCCGCCTCCTACCCGGGCCGCCTGGCGGCAGACAGACCCCTCCTTCTTTTAAGGAGTCAATCAAACCTTTGTGGTCAGACTGAGGCTGCCAAAGGTGGGAAGAGAAAAGGCCCCGGACGGGGGTGGCATTGGTTTTATTACCAATGCCACAAAGCCCAGGGCTGCCTCCACAGCCCGAGTTCTACTTGACAAGGGCAACTGCAGACACAGGACCTCAGCGTGGCCAGTTCCTGACAGGGACACACGCAGCTCAGGCTCCTTGAGGGACAAAGGGAGGTACAGTTACCCCCTCCACTGTGGCCCGGCTGTGCTCCCGGCCTCAGGTCACATCTGTGGGGATTCAAAAATCGCCCCCAGTGTGGCTGCACCCCAACAGCTGCTGGCCTCTCTGGCCTGGGTGTGGCCGGGACATCTTGTTCCTTCCTGAAGCTTCCTGTGAGCCTGGTGGCCGTCGGGGCTATGGGTCTAGGGTGCCTCTGACTCTGAAGGAGCCTGCTGGTGAGCGGCTACTTGAGGGCTCCTAGGAAGTCGGACCACATGCACAGAAAGCCCCACCAGGCTTTCCCAGGAGGTTCCCATATTGACTGATCTGTGCACATCTTTTTCCATTTGATTAAGTAAACAGCTCTCAGGGTTATGGATGGGAGCAAAATGTTCTCTGAGGGGCTGAGGTTGCCATGACATGGGATCCCGGGGAGCAGGTGGGCTGTGGCCCTGTGGGCCCCCGCTGCAGCAGCACTGCGCTCTGAGCCAGGTGCATCGTGTGCTGCTGCTCAGGCAAGCAGAGGCCGCACAACTGCCAGGAGGGGCAGCAGCCAGCCAAGCCCACCCAGTCCTCCAACAGGACCGCAGCAAAGCTCAAGGGCAGCTATAACATCTGGATCCTTATATGGTCTGCAGAAGGAGCCAAGAACTTCAAGAGCTCTTCTTGTTCAGTGTGTCCTCACCCCATCAGCTGTGAGTGTGGGCACATGTGGCCAGGCAGGGGCCCTTCCCTCGGTGCCTGGCCCCATCCCCACCTCACCCTGACCCCAAAGGCAATGGCTCCCACATCTCCCAGGAGCAGCAAAGGGCAAGCCCTGCCAACCTCGGTCCACACGAGCCTGTGAGTACCAGGCCTCCACGTATTCGAGTAAGTTAGCTCCTCTCCTACACAAAGAGCTGTCATCAAAACCAACTCTCAGATGTAAGAGCAGCCTGGGCCAGGCCATGGCTGCACCTTGGGGCTGGAGACCACCCATGCACACCTTGGCCTCGCCCTTCCTCCTCGTTGGGGTGAGCACCCTGCTGCAAGGCCGCCCTGTGCATCTCAGCGGACCCTCCTTAGCAACATCCCTGCAGGGCAGAGCTCCACTCCAGAGGTCAAGACAAACAAGGACACCATCTCCCTTTAACCTTTCTACCCAAATGGTAAAGCCCTTCCCCTCCTCTCTCCCATCCCTGTGTGTGGGGTCAACCCCAGGCCTTGGGGCCAGCCCCCACCCAGGCCAGGCGCCTACCTGCTGGGCCCTGTCCAGAGAGCCGCTGTCCCAGGCCCCTGGAGGAGCTCTGTCGACTGGCGGGCAGCTGCGCCCGCAGGCCTTCCAGCTGGGCCTGCAGCTCGTCATTGCAGTCCTGCAGGTCCTGCGGGGACAGAGCCAGATACCTCTTCCAGCTGCTGCAGCCACTCGGCCCAGGGAACCCGGAGCGTGCGCGGCAGGCCAGGCATGCTGCGAGGCGAGAGGGCATCAGTCCCGGACTTGTAGCGCAAGATATTTAATCAGGGTTTTGAGTCCCCGACTACATGGGGGGCTGAGCAAAAACAAGAGTCCTCTCTTGACTTTCTCATGCCCCACATCATTTCTGTCACTGGATATACATGAGAGGGGCTCAAAGAAAAAAGTGGAGTGGATACTGAAGAGAAATATAGAAAACAGAGAATCATCAACATCTGAAATTACAAGTGCTTTGTTTAAGCCACAGAGCTGCTGTGGCACACATGTCAGGCAACAAGATGCTGGGGTGTGCTGGGATTCTTGCCTCAGCAGGTGCTGAACTGCAAAGGGCTCTGCAGAGATGAACCACCAAAGAGGACACCATTTGCTCCAGACCAGATGCACAAAGCAGACAGAGGCGTCAGAGGGACACTGATTGCTGAAGCTGACTCCTGAGGGCGTAGGAGCACTGGCGATGGTGGGCAGGGAGACACCTTCCAGGGTGGAAGCATAAGAGGAAGAGTCTGCATTTGTGGCTAACATAATTTTGTTTATACTTTTAATGAGCTACGACAGTCCTCCCTCTCTGACATGACAAGCACGCCCAGTCATGTGCTTTGTAAGGCAATAAGAAGGGGTAGTGCAGCTAGCCCACTTTACCAGTTCCCTGAGTCCTGCAGCCTTTTGAAAAACATGGCAACACAGACTACAGTCTGTGCATGTTGCCGTGTTCACTCGTGACCCTGGGCATGGGTGCCACCACCCGAACCCAGGCAGCCTTGTGACTGCTCTGACCTACAGGACAGCAGAAGTCAGGTCATGTGACTTCCAAGGACACAACTTTTGCCTGGCTTCTCCTTGGATGGATGTCCCAGGGGAAGCCACTGCCATGCTGGGAGTGGCTACTGCCCCTACTAGCCCTGAGGAGGCCACCTGGGGAGGACCACATGGAGGCAAGGAGACTCCCAGTCCACACAGCACACCCACGAGGCACCATCTCCCTCTCTGGTTTCTGAATCCTATTCAAGTTTCTTTATAGCCTTTTCAGGCACCTCTCACTGAATAAACCTAATCTTCCTGAAACTGTCCCTGGAGGCCAGTCCCTGAGCCTGCCAAATGCATCACCGAGTTTCCCCTTGGAGAAGGAGCCTATCCTTGGCAGTTCTGAGCCACGTGAGAGAAGGGACAGGCTCTGAAGATCTTGGAAGAAGCATAGATTCATGGAGAGTCACTGTACCTCATTTAGAAACTCCTGTGCAAATACATGTTTCCTCCATGGAGGGAGCGGCCCTGTCCTGGGAAAAGGGCAGGGCCAGGGAGTCAGAGCTGCCAGGCAACGCTGGAGCATGCACCCCTTGGCTGCTGGCCCGCCCAGCCCACAGTGTCCGGCAACCCCATCGTGTACCCAGCCTCATGCCGTCCACACAGGAGCCGCCAGCCACGTGAGCTACTGAGCTCCTGAAGCGTGGTTAGTCTCAACAGAGATGTGCGCGAAGCATAACACGCAACATTTCAAAGACTTCCTCCAAAATCAGGATGTAAAGTACCTGAATTATTTGTTTATATTGATTATGATTGAAATGATCACATTTTTGATGTGTTAGATTAAATAAAATATATTATTAAAATTAATGTCACTTATTTCTTCCTTTTTTTAAGACTAAACCTACTAATACATGAATCTTCTTCCATATTTTAACATGTCTACTAGAAAACTTAAAAGTTACATGTGTGACTCCCATTGTGTTTGTATTGGCCAATGCCAATCTAGGAGTAACACAGACAGAATCATTTCTATCCAATGCCCTGCCCCGTTTGTGGTTCTTTCTGCCACTCCAAATGGGTATTTTGAGAGCACAGATACATCCTGCAAATTCAGCAGGGCTGGGAACAGGGTTCTCCCAGCTGACAGGAGGGGTACGGGCTTCTCTGTTCTCAGGACACGTCAGGACGCACAGTTAGTTATGGCTGGTGAGGTGGTGTGTGCCGTCCTGGGCACCAGCAGCCTCCAAGGGGCAGCTGGCAGGGGTGTGGGCCAGGGCACCTGTCCATTTTCATGTGCAAGGTGGTTAAGGGGCACTACTGCACTAGTCAGCAAAAGAGACTTGTGACAAGCCCAGCAACCACATACTGCAGCCCTGAAGAGTTGGGGGCTCTGGCCACATTGTGGTTTTTCTTGCCTTCTTGTTAGCATGGAGAAGCGAGGTCACAGGGAAGCAGGGTGGGATGGGGATTTGCACAGCAGCAGGGGAAGGCGTCTCTGGGAGGTGTCGAGATAAAGGCAGTGTCTGCAGGCTGGCTGGCAGGTAGGCCAGGCTGACCAAACAGACACTTAGGGGGACGAAGAACTGCCCAGAAAATTGGAGACGTGGGCATCTGTTAGGCACTGGTATGGAAACGCTAAAAGGGAAAATCACACTTGGGGTTTCTGACCAAGGGCATCTGTGCTGCTCCACTGTGGTGTCCACACAAAGCAACAGTAAAAACACAGAACCACAGAGACAATCTAAGGAGAATCTGGTTAACATTTCGGGGTCCCCTTCAGCAGAGCAGCCTTGCCAAGAAAACTGAGAGTGACAGTGGATGAAAGAGAAAAAGCAAAAATGGCAGTTATATCAGAAGCAGATTCTCCAACACGGAAAAGCATGGCTTGTTGCTAACAAATATTTTGGTTACAAAGGACAAGGAAACCTTAAGCAGTGAGTCTGGAAAGATCAGGTAGTACATAGCGGGGAAGGCTGAGGACTAGCTCTCTGGCATCTGGGGACGGACGACAAAGGTACACTCAGTCAAAATGCAGTGACCCTCCCAGGAGCAAGGGGCACACCGAGCACACAGATCTAGGTCTCTACAACCATTTCCCCATGAAAGGAACCAAGACTCCTTGGGGAAAGGGCAGATCCCAGGGCAAGTACAGAGAGCACCCTGCTGTGCCAGGCAGCATGAACAGTCAACAGAACCAAGCAACAGCAAAAATGACAGTGCTGTGCCACAGGGACACAACAGACAGCTGAAGACTCCCATGGGTCAAATCTTGCACAATTCAAGCACCAAAGTTAATTAAGCACAGTAATGAATTATAACCCACTGGGGAAAACGGGAATTCAGAGTCCATACCAATGGTAGGTGGGTAGGTGGACGGGACTTCTCCAGCTAACAGAAGAATGCCATCGGCAAGGATGGATGGGAGGGGGTGCTGAAGCGGGAAAACCATCATTTTGTAAAAATCATAGTAAAGACTGAGTTAGGTAAGAATCAATGTTAAATTCAGGGAAGATCTTGATGAAGAGCAGGATATTTGCATGGTCTTAAAGTGTCTCTCCACTGACTGCTTATTAGTTGGAAGGGAGGGAAAAAAAACCCAGTAATTTTACAGTGGGGAAATCAGGCAACACCTTGACCAAGTGCTCAATACCACCAAGGACAGACAGATGGACACAACAGTGCCTACATGGTGTGCCAGCTGAGAACGCATAGCCTCAATCTAATCAAAGGAAACATCAGAAAAACAAACAATGAGAATGTTTCTATGAAAAGGGGGGAGGGAAAACAGTATTTTTCAAAAATATCAGTGTCATAAAAGACAAAGAAAGGCTAAGAAAATGTTTTGGAATCAAGGACATTAAAGAAACAAGACAACTAAAGGCAATAAATAGCTAGTCCTAGACCACAGCCTATCCTGGAGAGGAAAATGCTCCAAGAAGATGAAACAGGGACCGTAGGTTAAAGTGCTGTACTGATGTCAACTCACAAAGCTAGTTAAATGAGACACAGTTAGAGAATATTCTTACCCAGCAAGGTGTTGGGAAACTTGCTCTCCAGGAAGAAAAAAAAAAAAAAGCCCTAGTTTGTGGTTTTCACAAATTTCTGTGGTATAAATTACTCCCACTAGAGTCAATTTAAAAAGCTATCAAAGGTTTAACAAGTAACTCAAAAATTACTGAACATTTACTAATCGCCTACAGGAGGAGAAACATGCCAGGTAAACTGGATTAAGCCTATTCTTAGGAAATGCACACTCAGGCATAGATGGGTAACAGGTAGTGATGTATGTAAGTTAACCTGAGATGGTTAACTTAGATGATTCAGAAATAATTGTGTACATACACAGAGAGTGTGCAAGTATGCAAATGATAAAGCAATTGGGGTGATGGGTGTACAGGTGTTTCCTGCACTATTTTTATGTTTGTAACTTCATATAATTTTAAAATTATGTTCAAATAAAAAGTTTTTTGAATACCCTAAAAATTAGTTTGAAACAGACAAAAATATCCAAAAATGGAGAAAGAAAATCTCTAAATAGATTAGCTAAAACGTAAAATATCTCTGCTGATGTTTTAAATATGAAATTTCAAGAACCCAAAGCGAAAAGAGTACAAACCCAAAGCGAAAAGAGTAACAGACCTTTAAGCAACAGAGTCCTATTAAAGAAAGAAGGGGTTTACATTTATTTGGAAACTCCAGTGCCCTAAAGGAACATCTTCATGGAGGGACATCTCTGGGTTCCATGTCTGCTCACCACGCTTCAGGGGAAGGAGAAGCTCAGCACAGAGCTGTAGCTCCCACGGAATGCCATCAGGACCCTCCACCTGCATGACAGGCCCCTGCCCCTCCACACACACCAGGCAAGTCAGGAGTATGACACACAGCTCACCACACACAAGATTCGCAAAAGGAGAATCACACAGTGCAGGAAAAGACAACAGGGCATCCAGGATTTGGGCTGGACTCAGAGGGCAAACCACAGACAGGATGCATGACCCACTCAGCGCAGGAGCCGCGGCTCACCTTGATCCTCTAGGGTGGCCAGAGCAGCGTGCAGCAGGAACAAAGTCAATTTACGTTAAATTGGGGGGAAGTCATCAAGAAGTGAATTGATGACAGATTCTTAAAATCAGACACTGTTTTATCTGCTTCTCTGGCTGTAGGACAGCTCAGGAATTAGTCACTAGCTTTGAGGACAGATGTTTTCCCCCAAATATCTGCTCCACTTTCAAATTATATAAAATTACTTTATAACTATTGGTGCTTTAACAATGACCATAGGCCAAGCAAGGGTGGCTCACACCTGTAATCCTAGCACTCTGGGAGGCCAAGATGGGAGAATACCTTGAGGTCAGGAGCTTGAGACCAGCCTGAGCAAGAATGAGACCTTGTCTCTTCTAAAAATAGAAAATTTAGTCTCTACTAAAAAAAATAAAATAGAAAAATTAGCCAGGCATCATGGCTCACACCTGTAGTCCCAGCTACCAGGCTGAGGCAGGAGGATCACTTGAGTCCAGGAGTTTGAGGTTGCAGTGAGCTACGATGACACCACTACACTCTACCCAGGGCAACAGAGCGAGATTCTGTCTCAAAAAAAAAAAAAAAAAAAAATACTGACCATAATGGTATCTTTGGAAATAATGACAGATTTTTAGCGTGAGGTGATTGGAGCAAAGACAACTGGTACGTGAAAAGAATCAGATATAACTAGAACCAGAGGCGCTGCTGTATCACCACACAAGGTAACTAAAGTTTACTGACCTAGTAAAATTAAGTCAGTTTCAAACAATCACATCTGCAGATAGCTATAAATTATGGCTGTCCAACTTGAAAATTTGTATTGTAATTATCTATTATTAAAGCAAATACAAAGGATAAATAAATGAGCAAACAGTAAACTACTGGCCAGGCTCGGTGGCTCACGCCTGTAATACTAGCACTCTGGGAGGCCGAGGCGGGCAGATTGCTCAAGGTCAGGAGGTCGAAACCAGCCTGAGCAAGAGCGAGACCCCATCTCTACTATAAATAGAAAGAAATTAATTGGCCAACTAATATATGGAGGAAAAATTAGCCGGGCATGGTGGTACATGCCTGTAGTCCCAGCTACTCAGGAGGCTGAGGCAGCAGGATTGCTCGAGTCCAGGAGTTTGAGGTTGCTGTGAGCTAAGCTGACGCCATGGCACTCTAGGCCGGGCAACAAAGTGAGACTGTCTCAAAAAAAAAAACAAAAAACAGTAAACTATTGATATCCTTAGATTTTTCTTCTTTTTGCTGGTGGGGATTATATAGGGTTTTAACTGGCTGTAATCTGAGGATGCACATGACTTATCGTCGTTCACTTGGCAATATTGCCTAGATAGAATCCCACATCTAGAATCACCCACTTTCCTGTTATCGCCAAGGCTACATGGGATTCTTTTAGAACAAGAGTCATAACACACCTTGCCATCCCCAATACTTGGTTGTTTCCAGTTTCCACTGTTTAGACTTGTTTGGACATAACTTTTCTTTATGCCAAGGACGTGAGAGGGGCAGGCGGGTCAGAGGCTGAGGTTTTTGATGGTGCCTGATATTAGCCACACGTACACCTCTCTTTATTAAAAAAAAGTTACTGTATGAGTTTTCCATAAATTAATTTTTAGTAAATTAAATCCTAACCAGGAGGTGACTACTAAGGAACCATGTGGTGAATTACTTTAAAAATCAAAGAATGGCTCTGTATTGTCAATAATCAACACAACTCAACTCTGGCTTGTTTTTTTCTATACTAAAATTTCTTCAAGAGGATCGATACTGTAGGCCAGAGCAGGGCAGGTGAGACAGGGAAAGGGAGCTGGACACGCAGCCATTAGCTGACCTATAAGGCAGCCCTTCAAGGCGTTAAAACTGGGCTTTATTCACAGTCTAGGAAACGCCTGACCTTTAGAACATTCCAGTCTTAGCGTACTCAAGGGATCAGGGAAGGGAAGGAAAGGAGATGCCAGAACGGCCTGGAATGCAGCAGTGTGCATTTAAAATGTGCCAAGGAGGCAGGTCCAACCCCAGGCTCTACCTGTCAGTCAGCATCTGTGTCCTACAGAACCAGAAGCCAACTGAGGGACAGGAGGGTCTGCATGACTGCAAGGCCACCAGGGTGGGTGTCCAGGCCTCCCACCAGCCTCACTGTGGCCCCCAGGGAGGGATTCAGGACACGAGGAGGTTTGAGTTGGGTTCTTCGTGCCCAGTCTCTTTTGGCAAGGGTGGGGCTTGTGATATCGCAAGACGCTGACACAGAGGCAGATACGAGAATCCAAGGCCGGGCACGGTGGTTCACGCCTGTAATCTTAGCACTATGGGAGGCCCAGGCGGGTGGACTGCTCAAAGTCAGGAGTTCGAAACCAGCCTGAGCGAGACCCCGTCTCTACCAAAAATAGAAATTAATTTGCCTACTAAAAATATATATACAAAAAATTAGTCAGGCATGGTGGCGCATGCCTGTAGTCCCAGCTACTCGGGAGGATCGCTGGAGCCCAGGAGCTTGAGATTGCTGTGAGCTAGGCTGACACCACGCCACTCACTCTAGCCTGGGCAACAAAGTGAGACTGTCTCTAAATGAATGAATGAATGAATGAATGACTCCAGCTCTCCACCATCAGGCCAGCCATTAAAGAGATTAACAGCTTGCGTTGGTGGTATAGTGGTGAGCACAGCTGCCTTCCAAAGAGATTAGCAATACAATGGTACACTTCTCAACTAATTTTTCTTTCTTTTGGAAAATAGCTATTTACGTTAGCCTGTTACTACGCTATTATTCTTAAAGGAATTCATCCATTTTTCAATTTCTACTCTAATTTTTACCGTAGTAAATACTAAATATAAGCCACATAACATATATCAACAAAAGCTCTTTGGAATCCCTGATAATTTTAAGAGTGTACAGGGCTCATGTGGTCTAAATTTTGCTCACCACTTCTGCCCACTCTCCACTCAGATGTCTCCAACTGGATGGGATGGATATGCATTGTCAGATTTGGCCCAGGAAATCTAAACGTTAGCATGAGAAAACAAGACGAAGCCCTACATGGTACCTGGAAACATGGAGGAGGCATTCAGAACAGGAGCCAAGCAAAGCCAGGGAACCCCCAGCCTAGGGCACCTGGCCAGGCCGTGGCCAAGCACAGCCACCGTCAGAGGCTCCTCCTGGAGGAGACACCCTGCCGTCCCCTGTGGACCACACTGCACGTGGAGACTGAGAGTCTGGACACAGGACTACAAGGAGGGCCAGGCAGGGCACGTACCCGGCACTTGACCTCATATTCCTCCAGGACCGCCGTGAACCGCTCCTCCTGGGCCAGGAGCTCCGTGCTCTGCGGCTCCAGCTGAAAGTCAGACACACAGAAGGTGACGGGCAGGCCTCAGGCCAGCAGAACTGCTCCTCCCGCCCCTGGGCTCTGAGAATCTGACTCGCTTCTCCTGTACCAGGCTCTGCATCTCCAGGTACACCTGCTCTGTCCTTCCTCCTCCTCCTTCCTTTCCCTATTTAAAAGGTATCAGGGCAGAGGATTTTTCTGGATTCATTCATTTATTGAAGATGGCCATGCTCACACCTGGAGCCAGGACACTGCCCTGGGAAGCCCTCTCCACCTCCTCCTACCCCCAAGGCGCTCTGAGGGCCAGGCAGGGGCCCTGAGGTGGCACAGAGCTCTGCCCTCCCTGTGTAACCACCATTGAGGCCTGTGCACATGGCACTGGCCCTGGCCAGGCAACAGCAGCCCCAGTGCTGCCATGAAGGGGGGCAGAGCAGAGGGAAGTGCTCATGCTAATTTTCTCTCCATTCTAAATTTTAGTAGAAAAATACTAAATTCTGTCACCTAGGTTGTCTCTCTTAAGACGCCACCTACTTTTTACCCAGCGCCCACAGGCTCTCCTCTCTGAAGACTCACGATCTGCAAAAGGACTTGCCTTGTCCTTCAACACCAACTCCAGGTCGTTCTGCAGTTTCAGGACCAGCTTCTCTGAATCCGAGAGCTTCTCCACCACTTCCACGACCTCCTTCTGTAAGCGACTGTTCTCCTGTGGGACACAGCCCGCAGTCCATCAGGCTCGGGACGCGCAGGAGGAGGACGTGGGCAGGACTGGCGCCACTTCTCTACAAGTCAGAGGCTTGTTTGCCAACAGCGCTGGCGATCAGCACTGGTGGAGAAACCCCCGAAAGGCGAGGCACCTGGGTGCTGGCTGCCTGCATGCTGCGCCGTGGGCTGTGGCAGCAGAGGGCAGGCACCTCATTGGAGGCCAAGGGGTGGTGGGCGCAGGTCATGGGACACTCGCCAAAGCCCACAAAACCTCTCTGCTCCAGGCCGCAGACCCAGGCCTCTGGCAGGCTGGGCTCTAGTCCTGGTATTTTTGCTGACCCCAGGGCGTACCTGGGTCTCTGGGGGTGCGGCAGTGCCGGCTTCGGTCACTGGCTCTCCCTGACCGCAGGCCCATGTGACCCAGAGCAGAGAGCAGGAGTGAGGGGGAGGGAGGGGCAACACCACTGCCAGCACAGCCAGGACCCTCCGCTCTGCTGAGAAGGGGACCCCTCCCTCCCCGCTGTGAAAGCGTTCCTTAGTTTAAAGTCCCAGGCGTTTCCCTGCCCTGACGTAAGCTTAAAGCCGCCAGCAGGTGTGGAGCCTTGACCGGGAAGACGGGCGTGACTAGATGGACACTCACTCAGGCACCCCCTACCTTCAGGGCCAGGGTCAGCTTCTCTCGGAGGCTGGCCTCCTCGGCCTGCAGGCGCCCCACGTCGTGCTCCAGCGCAGCCCTCTGCCTGCGGGCCTGCTCCCAGAACAGCTCCCGCTCCGCCTCCACCTCGGACCGCAGGAGGTTCAGCCTTCCCCGGTACCCCTGCTCCAGGTGCCTGTAACACGCCATACACACATCACTTCAGGGCTCCCCCAAGCTGCCCAGGACCGCATGGGCCCCCAGCCCCAGTACACGCCAGGACTCCTTTCCCCTTTCCTCTGCTGAACTGAGGCCTGGGGGTGGGTGCGTGTCCTTCATAGGCTGGTGGAGGTGACCCCAAAAAAGGGTAACTAGTGGGTCACCTAGTGAATGCCAGCAGCTGCACCCCTGGAGGCCTCAGGTGAATGAGCAAGCAGAGCTGTCTGGGGAGGGTCCCACGGCCACCCTCTGCTCTCCACATTCTGTGCACTGTGGGCAGCAGCCCTTTGAAGCCTCACATGAGTAAAAGTTGACTCCCTTCCCAGGAAAGAGGCAGCATAGAACCCCTGGACAGTGAATTCCCAGAGCAACCTAAGGAAGAGGTGGGAGGCATTTTTTTCTCAGATGCCCCATTTATCTTTTGTAATAATCATTTCCATCATCAGGAAACAGTATCAACTCTTACTTAAGTCTTGTCACTAAAACAGCCAGTTCTCACAACTTCTCCAACAAGTCTACCTAGACCGGAGAAAAGCAAGGCTCCAACTTCAGCAGAAACCTGGCAACGTCAGTAACTGGGCACAAGACCTGGGCTCACCCCCCGCCCACACAGCCTAGACTTTTCATCTCGGCTCAGAACTTTAAACAAACAGTATCCAAAGGGGAAGATGGAGGAAGAGCAATACAATAGATCTGACTAATTTAACAGTCTGGAGACCTTTGCGGTAGCTTTAAAAAACACTTATTTGATCCTATCAGCCCACTCTTTAAAAACCATTGAAACAGACAACAAAAGGGAAATGGTCAAGTAAAACATGGCAGACCCACATGGAGACCCACGCAGTGGGATGCTCTGTGGCCATCAGAAAAGTATATATAATATGCTGTCATTTTGTAAACCCTCAAGTACATAGAAAAAAGTGAAGGACATAAAAAATGTTAAGGTAATACCCTCTGGGAAGTAAGATTTCTGGTTTTATTTTTCCTTTTACTTGCATGTTGTAAATTTTCTATAATAAACGTGTATTGCTTGTTACTTCTGTAACAACGAGAACCTAATGCAACCATAGAAGTTACGCACAGAAATCTACTGGTAGTTTCCCATTGAGCACAGGACAGAACTCAAACCTCCACACGGCCCGCACAGGTTCCGAGGCTGCGTGTCCCTCAACAAGATTCAAGGACAGAGGTGCCACCTCAGACTTTATGACCCTCTGACTCCAGGAGAGACACATCACAAAATTCTTCCCAGATGGCCGGGAGAGAACCAAGCCCTGCCCTTCCTGACCAGGCAAATCAATTCTTGGTGACTCAAATTGATCATCTCAAATCAAGTGACTTTTAGCTTTTGAACACAATCATCTGAAAAGGAGAGTTTTCCTCCATAAGCATCATTAACTGAGGGCTGGGCAGTAGTGCTGGGGTGAGAGGAAGGTCGTGTGGAAGTCAGGCCCTGCTGAGGAGTCTGGAGATTCCCCCGTTCCCCCATGGGGTCCTGAGAGGCTGCATCGAGGCCCCAGTGGTGCCCACAAGGAGCAGCTAGAACCGATCCTGAGCCTGCTCTGCCAGATGCCAACACTCAGAACAAGAGAGAGGCTGAGACCAATGTGTGTTATGAAACAGCTGTTAGGAGAAAGGAAGAAGTGTCCAGAAGAGTAAGCAAAGTTCTAGCAACTGTGCTAATGGTCTTCTCCATATTCAGCTCCTTTTTTGAGAGAGAGAGAGAGAGAGAGAGAGAGAGAGAGAGAGAGAGAGAGAGAGAGAGAATGAATCTCACTCTGTCTCCCTGGCTCAAGTGCAATGGCATTATCATAGCTCACTGCAGCCTCCAACTCCTGGCCTCAAGTGATCTTCCTGCCTCAGGCTCCCCAGTAGCTGAGACTACAGGTGCACACCATGTCTGGCTAATTTTTTCTATTTTTAGTAGAGAGGGGTCGCCTTCTTGTTCAGCCTGATCTCGAATTCCTCACTTCAAGCAATCCTCCCCATCCAAGGCTTCATGTTCTTATACTTTCAAAATAAAGCAGACAAGCTGCCTCAAGCTGCCTTAGAGATAGCTTAAGACCAGGAGGGAGCAGACCTGGCCTAGATTTCACACACCCATGCTTGCTGTTGTGTGATTGTGGGCAAGTTGCTGAGCTGCTCTAAGCCTGTTTCTTTGGCTGAAAAATGGTAACAAATGGCCTGGTTGGGTCCCAGTGGCTGTTAGGTGAGGCGACACCTGGCCCATATAGAAGCTGTAGAGACTACAGTGGCTTGCAGGCTCCAGGTGCCTTCCCAAGGATCCAAGACCCACTGTTGGCTCCTCAACCTCTTGACCTTTGGCTGAATGGCAAAGCTCCTCCCAAGGCATCTTTGGTGGAAAAGGAATGGGCACACTATGCCACACAGCAGGTGGCCAGCTGCCAGGCTCTGTCTTTGGGGCTAGCCTGAAGACCCCACCATCCCGGGCAAGCTGCCCGGCTCCACCCACACACCTCCTTCCCTGTGAGGCTCACGGTGCTGAGAGCCCCACATCAGCAGAGCTCACCTTTCTGCAGACTGTGCTCAAACTCTGCATGCCAGGCAAACAAGAGAGGGGAAGAATTCCCAAGAAACCCCTAAAACTGCCCATGCATGACTGTGTCAGGGGCTTCACGTGTGCCTCGAGGGCCACCCATGGAGCAGGTGCACTACTACAGGGTCACAGGCCAGCAGAGCCACTGTACCTTCAAATGCTACAACCAGACGCTGAGAGGAACAGTGAGCGAAACCCTGCCCCCATCCCCACGCCACCTGAAGGCCCCCTTTCCCTTTTTCCCCTGATGTGTAGGGTGCAGCTGAGCCACCACCATCATGGGCCACAAGCATGGGTGCCAGGTCTGTGCAGCACACTACAGAGGGCGGACCCGTGAGGAACTGAAGGGCTTAAGGACAACAAGGCCAACTGCAGCCTCAGGCAGGCCTCCCCCCTCAATCCGCCCACCAACCCACCCACGTACCCACTGCAGGGAGAACAAGTAGGGAAGGCCAGTAGCACCTTGCTGCTCCTGCCCAAGAGCTGTGAGCGCACAGTTTTTCTGTAAGCACGTCCCTTGCTGCCCCTCGAGGAGAACACCTTTGGGTGAGCAAAGCCCCAAGACGACGAGCAAGCAGCTGAGCTCTCAGCACAGACGGCTCCCCGTGGGAATGGAGAAGCCCCTTCCCTGCTGCAGCCCGGGAAATCCTCCCAGGCAGGATTTCCCCAGGTGTTCTATAATAAACCAGCAGTGGTTTTGTGTCCTTAAAAAAAAAATCTATCAGAAATCCTTTTCTCTGGCCTGTCCAGCCACTGTCCCCATGGCAGGGGTCTGCTCAATACACTAGAGCCATGCTGCGTGGAGTCAGGCTTCACTCACCGAGCTCTTTCTGCCTGCTGGGCCGACAGGAAGCCATTGCTGGCCCTCTCAAAATGCCCACTGATTCACAGGCAGACAGACAGGTGACAGAAGGATGTAGCCCTTGTGAGACAAACCAGGGCAAAGCGAGGGCAGGAGACAGGGACTTCCCTTGCAGCCCTCGGACACACACCACCATCATAAAGGGCAGCACTCTGCTTTTAAATGCTCCTCCTCTTGGAATAAGGTATGTCTTCTAGATTCCTGTGGGCTCAGGTGAAGTAAGATGGTCTCTGCTCCACGATGCCTATGGCCACAGCTTTGGTGGCCCTGCTTCCACTGCCTACCCTCGCCGGGGCTGCGGGAGGCCAAGGTAAGGAGCCACCACCCAGGCCCCGAACCTACTTGATTTTCTTCTCTGTGAGCTGCTCCAGGGCAGAGTGGCAATCATCCATCTCCTTCACAAATTCCAGGTTCCTCTTCTCGACCCTCTCCAGGTCCTGCCTTGCCTTGTCCCGCTCTCTCGCCAGCTGCTCCACCTGCCCTCTGCCACAGGAAGGGGACTGGGTCAGGTGGCGATGCCACTGTTGGTGCCTACCACGGCAGGGCCGCCACACCAGGGCCTGCTACAGGCCCAGCAAGCCCCACGTCTGCGTGAATGATAAATATAGCTATATAGCATCAAGGTATCACAGGTGGACCGGCGCTGTGCCAACCTTACTGCCACCACCAACCCCTTCTTAAGGCGGTTTCTAAATTGCTATGTCCATTTTACAAATGTGTATCCTGAGAGAGAGAGGCCAAATGACCTGCCAAAGAAGTCTGAGCCTGTAGCCTTGCAGTGTGCCATATCTCTTAGACAACCCCAGGACGCCTGAGAACGGATCTGAGTGCCCTCTTGTCTGCAGCCGGGCTGCGGGCACCCTGGATCCCTACTGCAGGAATGGAAACACAAAACGGAGAGGGAAGGCCACTCACCATCCCTAATGGCCACAGCCCTGCCACCCAGCAGCCTGGCATCCAAATGAGTGCAAGGGGAGTCACCACGTAAGAGGTGATTCACGTGTGTGGCCTTGGTTCTGTCCAGCCACCCAGGCCCAGCTGAGGCTCTCTGTAAACTACTGTGGTAGCTGCTACTCCAGTGACTGCTTCCCCTCAGAAGGAGAAGTTCCCCCCTTCTCCTCCCAAGGTCAAGGGAGGGATTTGGACAAGTCCTTCTCTATCTGCAGAGCTGACTGAGGCCAGAAGGCTCCTCTGTTGGTACCCAAGGAAATGTAGGTACCTAATGAGATACAAGGTCTTTAGGATTGAGACTGTGATTTCTGCCAATCTTTTCTGTTGCTCAGAACACCAATGAAAACATGAAAATAACTTTTAGGTGAATCTGCTTAGCAGGACGGCCTGGGTGATCAGCCAAGCCAAAGGGAACCCGCTAAAAATGGAATGTGTTCTTGGCCCACTGTCACTGGGCACTTTGTGACCATGTTTGAAAAGCACTTCTTTCTCCTCTGGCTGCTCTTGGAAGCACATCCCCAGCCAACTGGAGGGTCCTGCCTCCACACCTGCAAGCTCCAGAATCGGGAGGTTAAGGGTCAGCTCAAACCCTTCCCTTTGGAACCTCGGTAAAGGGGGCTCAGCCTCTCACCAAGCATGAGGAAAGTCAGAGACCCTGAAATTCTGTGGACTCAAAAGCCTGAGCAGGCAGTCCCCAGGGTCCTTACACCTTGCCTAGCCCAGAAATGCAGACAAGTGGGTATCACTCACCTCCCCACTCTTCATAGCTCAGCTCTGTCCTTGTCCCTCCATAAGCATCAGCTAAAGGGGCTGTAGAGCACAGGGCCGGTAGTGCACAGACCCCTGCCCCAGGACTGGCCATCTGGGGTGGACAAAGGTGGCCCAGTGTCCTGTGTGTCCCAGACTCCCCTCAAGGCCCACCTGGCCAGCCTCACTCCCACGTCCCGCAGTCCCTCACAGGCTCTTACTGGTGGTAGCTCAGCTCCTGGCGGTAGCAGGCCAGGGCTGCCTGCTGGGCGGCACCGTCCACTGTCATGAGCTCGTTGTCAAGGGCCCAGGTCAGCTCCATAAGGTTCACCTTCTCGTCCACACTGAAGTCCAGGCTCTGGAAGTAGCAAGCCCGGTGGGCAGGAGAGGATGAGGGACTTCTCCAACACAAGGACAGTCCAGGGAACCAGATTCACCCCCACTCTTGTAAGTGGCACCTGCCCCTTTTATGTCTCCCTCTTGAGAGGCGCCCCTCCTCACCCCAGGTTACTCTGGTGGACTGTCCACAACCATGGTCCCCCAGACCCTCGTCCCCACTTCAGAGGTGGGTGCACCAGGCTGGACAGAGCCCCCTTCTCCAGACAAAGTGGCAGACAAAGACAGGGATATGTCCCAAGCAAGCACCTCATGGGGACTAACATGGAATCCGGGGAGTGAGGCCCTCTCTCCCTCTGAAATCAATGGTTGTGAGGACAGTGTGAGCCTCAGGAAGCCCCGTGGCCAGGAAGACCACGGTGGAGAGATGGAAAGAAGCTAATGCCACCCTGGGAGCTCAGAACCCTCGATTCCTAAAGTCCTCCCTTACTGCCCACCCAGGCCGCCCCCCAACGTTCTCTTTTTGAATTGGGTTTTTGCTATTTCAAACTAAAAGAACCCTGATTAATACATCTCTATGAAATACATGTATGATGGATAATTCTGTTGGTAGAAAAATGATCAGAGGAGGGAGCCACCGTCAAAAGCATTCCAGACAGGAGCACTCTTTCCCCCTCAGGATTTTGAAAAATAAACTTAAAAATAAAATGAAAAGGACAGAACAGTTTATGTCATGAGTATTTTACCACAATAAAAAAAAAACAGAACAACGAAAACCCATAAGCCCCTCAGCTCAAGTGACCGATCACTAATATTTAGCTGCACTTGCTTCTCTGATCTTGAGAATTCTTGACTCCTGCTTCCAACTATGACTCTTAAAAATTGAAAACAGCTTCACATGAGTCCAGCAGCAGGCACCAAGTCAGAACCCACCAGAGCAGGTGCCAGGACATGCCCAGCCTGGATACTCCCCTGTAGAATGGGGACTTGGCTTCCCACGGCTGCCCGCTGCACGCAAATGGTGTCTCGGGTGAAGCTTGTGGAGCAACATGGGAACCTGAGGCTGTTATTACGCAAGGGCCAACTTCCCAGCAACAACCCCACGGGACACACAGCAGCAGCTTCCCGCCCAAGAAGGGAGCCATCAGAAACCATCCCAGCGTGGTGGGAGCCTCCACAACTGCCCACACCTCCTGGGTGAGCCGGAGCCCACACCTGCTGGGGTTCACCCCTGTAACTGTCACATTGTGAAATGTGTACATGGCCTTGCCCACTTCCTGACATGCAGCTTCTAAAATCCTGGCAATCTCCAAAGTGATAAGAGCATCATTTGTATGCTAATGAGGTAGCTGGTGGCTGGGGCCCAGGACAGCTTCAGGGTGGAGGCTGGTGTCCTGAAGACCAAGCAAGATTAGAGGGCTGGGAATTCCAGCCAAGTCCCAACCTCTGAGGAGAGGAGAGGCAAAAGGTTGAGTTGATCACCAATGACCAATGGTTTCATCAATCTTGCCTATGTAATGATGCCTCCATTAAAACCCAAAGGACTGGGTTCTGGGAGCTTCTGGATAGCTGAACACATGGAGGTTCCTGGAGGGTGGTGCCCCGAGAGGGCATGGAAGTTCCACACCCCTTCCCCCATACCTCACCCTAAGCATCTCTTCCATCTTGATGTATCCTTTGTAATATTCCTTATAATAAATGGGTAAATGTAAGTACAGTGTTGCCCTGAGTTCTGTGAGCCACTATAGCAAATGAATGAAACCCAAAGAGGAGGTCATGGGAACCCCAGTTTATACCCAGTCAGTCAGCAGTATAGATGACAACCTACTACTTGCAACTGGCATCTGAAGTGGGGGGCAGTCTTGTGGAACTGAGCCCTCAACCTGTGGGATCTGATCCTATCTCCAGGTAGATAGTATCGGAATTTAACTGAGTTAGAGGACACCCAGCTGGTGTCCACTGTAGAACTGCTTGCTTGGTGTACGGGGAACCTGGGGGAAATATTCTGTGTTGACTGTCGAGTTGAAAGAATAAGGAAAATATTTTGGCTTCTCCTGTATTACAATATTAACCACAGAATATTGAGGAAGTGATGGTGTGTGCCTTGCAGGGTAGGTCAGCAGACAGGCAGCCTCCTCCTTGCTTTCTCAGATCCCTCGCTCTGGGAAAGCCAGCAGCCATGCTGTGAGGATGCCCACGCAGCTGCAAAAAGAGGCCCACGTGTAAGGAACGGAGGCCTCTGCACACAGCGAGCATCCCCTGGCTGGGGTGAGTATGCCATCCTGGAAGCAGATCCCTGGCCTCAGCCAGGCCTTTGGGAGACTGCAGTACTGGCTGATGTCTGACTGCAACCTCACAAGGACCCTGAGCTAGGATCACCCCACCAAGCTGCTCTCAAATTCCTGACCCACAGAAACTACATGGGATATGAAATGTTGATTGTGTGCAGGGCACAATTTGGTGATAATCTGTTAAGCAGTGAGAGAGAACCAACCCAGGGTCTCCTGATAAAGCAGTGCCAGAATGAGCAGCTCTACTGCTGAGAACAGGAGGAAAGCAGTAAAAGCAGAAAGTTCTAAAATGGTAGAGGCAAGATGGAGTCTCATCACTGCCCAGACCACGGTGGCACCCAGGGCACCCCAGTGTCAAGGAGCTAGGTGTCAGAGGGCAACTCGGAACTATGGGCATCTTTGCTTTGTCCTCCCTGTGTGCAATTTTGGTGACTCTGGTTCAGCCTTTGGCTTTCAGAACAGTCATGAGGGCCAGTTGCCCAGGTCTGACCTTTTTCATCCCGGGGAAACTGGTTGGCCAAGTTTAGGCCCAGGAGGGTCTCCACCCAGAGTCCAGCACACTGCTTTCAAGGCTGTCTTTGGGCTCTGTCACTTACTGTTGGTTTGTGCTAACAGGCATTTTAGTTGGCAATATGATAGAGCCCGTCAAGAATTAAAGTATGCTATTTCAGGAATCTACCCTTATGAAGAGCTGTGGCCCTGTGTGAGGACAGCCCCCCAACACATGGCCCATGGGAGGAAGGCTCTAGACTGAGTGGGTGCCGTGGGGAAAACAGCTCAGCCAGCCGGGCAGCTGCTCCGGGAGGAATGCTGGCTCACTATGAGCTCATCAGTAACCACGGTGACAGTGGTGCACAACAGACACCTTCATCACAAGGAAGGGATTTCTTTCTACTCATCTTACCTCCTTCCCTAGTACTGGGGAGAAATATCTAAGATACTAAAACCTACCTCTCCACACGGCTGTTTTTCAGACTATTGTTTTCTCCCTATTTTATTTATTCTATTTTTAAATTAAAATTTCCTATATTTTAATAACAAAAATTAAAGGGAAAATATTTCTACCTGGACTTCCCTATATGGACTTCACACAGAGCGTGTGCCCCTGGCATGGGGTGCTCTATCCATCCTCCTCTCCAGGTCCCCTGCCCGGCCCCACCACTACCTGGACATCACCCAATGGGGCACAAGCCAATTCCAAACCTGCAAGATCTCCCTGCCGTTCTGAATCCCCTCCTGGGCCCACACCGCCATGACCTGCTCAGGAAAGGCAAAGCCAGTGCCATCATCGATGCTGGAGAAGAGGCGCAGGCCCAAGCACAGGGACACGAGGGATGAGGTCGTGGTGGTGTGGCAGCAGCTCTCCTCTTGGACCTGTGTGGGGGAAACGGAAGACACCCTGAGCCCCAGGCACTGGTAAGCCTCAGATCATCTGTGCCTTGTGAACATGTTTTCAACCCTCACCAGCCTGTGCTTGGCACTCTGCTGTCTCATCAGGGCCTAATAAGAACTCACAAGATTATTGTCAGCTCCTTTTCCTAGACAAGGGAGCAGAGGCATGTAATCTGTCCAATATCACGTGGCTCTGCAGTAACAGAGCTGGGACACAGACCTGGGGCTTCTGACACCCAGCACGGCGCTGTCTCCAGAACCCTGAGGTCTTGTGCCTGCGTGGCCCAACCAGACAGCCCCGGTCAGCACGTCTTCACTTGAAGGGGGACAATGAAGGGGCTTTAATGTTCCTCCCTGGGATTAGCAGTGGGGAGCATCTGGCCACACAGAGGCAGAGCCCCAGAAGGTCCATGCCAGCACATGGACACACGGAGGAGCTGCCATGTCCCACGCACTGTGCATTATCTTCTGTAGCCCTGTGAGTTGGGCATCCAGACTGTTCCCATTTTACAGATGAGCCTGGGACTCAAAAAAGGTAATGGCCCCAGTGATGCACAGCTAGGGAGAAGTAACACTTATCAGCCGCAGATCTATGTGGCTCTAGAATCTAAGTCACAGGCCTCTCACATACACATGTGTGCACAGGCCCCCGTCCAAGTCCTTGACAGCTCAGCTTGCTGTATGGGGCACAGGCAGGGCGTCAGTAGCTTCGGTGACCAGAGAGTGATGGCTACTGCTGGGGCCCAAGATTTAATTGTCTCATTTTACCTGGTAATGAGACCAGGGCCTGCTCAGGTTGACCTGAGTGGAAGATTCTGGAAGTGAGGTGGGCTCATGACTCAACAGGCCAAGCTGGAATTCCTCAAGACTCACTCTGCCATCTCCGTCTCGGTCCAATTTGTTAAACAGGTCCTTCAGCTCCTAAACAAAAGCCGCCACACCTCAGACTCAGAGGTCCGCCCACAGGAGCTATGCACTGGCCATCCTCAGCAGGGCCTCCCCGCTCCCAGCACAGGCAGTTTGCTTGTCCTTAGCCAAGCTCAAAACTGCACGCCACGCCTGGCTGTGCTTTCCCAAGGCCGCATCCCCTGCCCTGTGAAGCACACAGGCCCTGCCAGTCTCCACCCCACCGCGAGTGAGCATCACCTAAGCTTCCCAAGTCCACAAATACTCACTGTCTACCAGGGCAGGAACTTGTTGGACGCAGAGGAGATGTGCACACGGAGCACATCCAGGCCCCACAATCCACGGTCCAGCAAGGGTGCAGGGCTGAGGACAGTCCTCACCAGGGGGCCCTCAGCCCACCCCTCCAGGGCTAACACATGCCCAGGGAACACAGGTAGGCTCAGACTCGACATCTAGGCTGGATAGTAGAACTGGGCCGCCCAGAGAAGAGGAAAGGTGTTCCAGGCAGAGGAAGGATCATGAGTGAAGGTATTAGACGTTCCCGGCTCATGTGAGAGTGGCAGAGTTAGTGAGATTGACTCAAGTGGCCAGAGAAGGACTTTCCAAGGCATCTGGAGGGTGACCTTCGGCAGAAATACCAGGATCCACCAAAGGATTTTAGACCAGAAAGTGATATTCCGGAATACTGACTGAAGGGTGGAAGGATTTTCCAGACTCAACACTAACCCATGACCACTGCAAGGGACAAGCTGCTGGGGTGGTCCGTCTCGGCCCTCTCACCTCTTTCTGCAGTCCTCGGAGCCCGACGCTCTGGCAGACCACAGCCAGCTCCTGCTCGTTCAGGTGCCCACTGCTGCCAACACCTAGCTCTTCCCAGATGCCCTGGACCTGGCTCTCAGGGGTGTCACAGGAGGGGCTGCAGGACTTCTGGGGGCTCCTGAAGACCTCAGAACCCCAGGTCTGCAGCTGGCCTGAAGCAAAGGGGAGTGACAATCAGTGGGATGTGACTCAGCCTTAAAAAGAAGGAGATCCTGCCATTTCCAACAACATGAAAGAACCTAGAGGACATTGTGCTGAGTGAGACAAGTGAAATGACATATAAAGGCAAATAGCATATGATCTCATTTATATGTAGAATCCAAAAAAATGTGGAACTCACAGTAACCAAGATCAGATGGTTAAGGTGGTTACTTACCAGGGGAGCTGGGGCATGGGTGGGAGGAGATGCTGGTCAAAGGATACAAACCTTCAATTACAAAATGAGTAAGTATTGGAGACCTAACATATAGTGTGGTAACTACTGTCAACAAGATTCTATTGGTTACTTGAAATTTGCTAAGAAAGTGTATCTCAAAAGTTCTCAGCAGCCGGGCGCGGTGGCTCACGCCTGTAATCCTACCTCTCTGGGAGGCTGAGGCGGGCGGATTGCTCGAGGTCAGGAGTTCGAAACCAGCCTGTGCAAGAGCGAGACCCCGTCTCTACTATAAATAGAAAGAAATTAATTGGCCAAATAATATATATAGAAAAAATTAGCCGGGCATGGTGGCCCATGCCTGTAGTCCCAGCCACTTGGGAGGCTGAGGCAGAAGGATTGCTTGAGCCCAGGAGTTTGAGGTTGCTGTGAGCTAGGCTGACACCACAGCACTCATTCTAGCCTAGGCAACAAAGCGAGACTCTGTCTCAAAAAAAAAAAAAAAAAAAGTTCTCAGCATACACAAGTAATTCTGTGAGATGATGTATATGTTAATCAGCTAGATTGTGGTAACCATTTCACAATGTGTGTGTGTACTTATATACCAAATCATTATGCTGTATACAATTTTTATTTGTCAACCACACCTTGATAAGCTGGGGGGGTCCCAATAAGAGTTAAAGCCTGTGCTCCAGGCTGAAGCACCTGGGGGAGGCATGCCAATGCTGGCTACCTACCCTGAAACCCGAGTGACAGCAGATGGCTAGATAGGGATGGACAGACACATGGGAGTCAAAAAACATCACAAGTGGAATTAGATGGTGGCTACATGGGTGTTCACAGTACAATTCTTTCCACTTCACTCTGTGCTTGCAAATGTTCATAATGTTAAAAGAAAATCTCTGATCCACCTGAGGAAAGCTCTTTCTAAAGGTAAGCTTCTAAAGCTAGACCACTGAAAGCACATAAGAGGGCTCTAGTATTTGTATTTACAATTAAAACACCAGTTTTTTAAAAACCTAATTTTTAGAAACTTTTCATACCTATCCAGAGCAAAGAGAAGAACATAGTTGAAGCCCAGGGCACCTGCTGCTCAGGCTAAGTGATGACAGGACTCTGCCACTGACTTCATCTCTCCCCCTTTTCCTAACAGCTGAAGTATGTGAAAGTGCAAGTACTCCGTGACTAACAGGGTTACATCCCCATAAACCTGCTCTATGTTGAAAATATCATATGCCAAAAATGCATTTAATACATCTAACCTACTAACATCCTAGCTTAGCTTAGCCTACACCTTAAATGTTCTCAGAACACATTCATTAGCCTAGAGTTGGGCAAAATCATCTCACACAAAGCCTATAATAAAGTGTTCACTATCTCATGTCATTTGTTGCATACTGAAAGTGAAAAACACAACAGTTATATAGGTATTCAAAGCATGGTTTCTACTAAAGCGTGTCACTTTTGCAACCATCATAAAGTGGAAAAATCATTAAGTCGGACCATCATGAGCTGGGGACTGTCTACATTTGAAATCCCAGACCTCATGTTATCTCGCTCCCACATATTTAGTATACTTCCAGACAATATGGACATTTTCTTATATCACCACAATGGCACTATCACACCTAACAAAAACAGTAGTTTTCCAACTGTTTCAAAGATGTCTTCTTATAGCAACTTTTCTGAATCACTGTCCAAACTCCTCAGGGTACACTTGGCTATTATCCCTCTCAAGTCTTTTGGTCACAAACCTTTCTCTCACCTCCCCACAGTCCACCATTGTTTAAGAAATGGGATCAGCTGTTCTACAGAATGTCCCCCATATGAGATTTACCTGCTTGCTTCCCCATGGTGTCATTTAACTTGCTCCTCTACCCTAACATTTCCTGAAAACCTGAAGTAAGCTTCAAAGACTAATTAGGATTCAGGTTTAACTTTTTGTTGGCTTTTAAAATTTTTTTCTGGCAAAAACCCTTTGCAGGTGGTACAGTGTACTCCACATGCCAGACACATGGCACACAGGTGTCTCTGAGACTCATCAAATGGTTTGGGTGACAGATGGCCAGTTTTTATAAAATTTCTTCTTCAGCTGGTTGGCTTCCTGACATGTTTCAAGCTTAGCTGGAAGAAACAACCTGTGGACGAGGACATACGTTGGGTGTCCATGAGGCAGTGCCTATGGGGAGCTCTGCGTACAGCCAACCACGCCCATCCACACCCAGTCCATACCACCCAGCCCAACGCAGGGAGGAGGCCGCATTCACCTAATGCAGCCTTGGAGCAAGCAATTCTGCGTTGGTGGCCTGGATCTTTCAGGTAGATGAGTCCCATGGGCATCAAATACTTTGGTAACTCCCCTAGTAACAGTAAAACCATCACCCCCCAAGGAAGGCCAGGCCTGTGTGCTCAGGCATGATGTGTGGGCTGGGCTGAGAAAAACGCTAGGAAAGGGCCAGGCAGGAAAAGACCACCTCAAAGACCCCACCCAGCCCACGATGTCTGAGTAGAAACGTGAAGGTAACCCTGATGCTGGAGTTCCTTTCTCAGGGCTGGCAGAAGAGGGCAGGCGAATCCTCTGACGCCTGACAAGAGTGTACGTGTACTTCTGTCAGTTCTGACCTGGTGGGAAGGCTTCTGTCCATGACTGGAAAGAACCCAAACCCGTTCTCCAGACAGAAAACACCGAAATTGCTCTGTAAATAATCTTCTCCTGAGAGTGCTTTCTTTTGCTACCCTAGATTTAGACTTCAAGTCCAAGGCAGCACAATGGAAGCTCAAAGCCGTTCCCCTGTTGTTTTCCGTAACAAAAGTTTAATAAAAAATGTCCCTGGCACTCAAGGACACAATCCACGGGGTACTGTTTACTTTGGCAGAAATTCCAGGGCAATGCTGGTTTCTCTCGCTCCGGGTTTCTGCACCGTCAGCCCCATGTGACCCACCATGTGGGAGTCCTCTTTAGGGCATCCACCAGCTCACAGGGAAAAGCCCAGAAAGGCAGTGAAACTGCTCACAGGACCGAGGAATACAGACCAGCACTACTCCCTGCCCTGCATGGTCAGCGGCCCACCCAGCCTACAGCCCAGCCCAGGACAAAGGAAATCGCAGGGCGCTCACCCAGGTGGGGCTGCCCAGGGTGCAGCATGCTGACTAGGAGCCACAGATCTAACCACATCTCAGCAGTGGGATACAGCGGAGCCGGCAGCCTGCCGTCTTCCTGGCAGGACCTCACACCTCCTCCAACAGGACGTACCCAAGAGCGCTTCCCCAGCCCTTACCAACCAGGCAGCTGGAGGCTGCCAGCAGCCTGAAGAGGCCTCTGTCCTTGTGCAGTCAGCTCCAGAGTCTCCTGCCCAGTCACCGGCAGCCCACACCCCAAAGCATTTGTCCCTCTCATCACTGCCTTCCTCAAAGACCAGGACAGCCCTCTGTGGCCCCCACACCTTCTACATCTGGCTATTAAGGACCCCACAGTTTGCTCCCCACAAGTCCATTGACGACGCCTCCAGTTTTTCTGTTTCTAGAAGCACATGACACCCACCTGTTCCAACTCTTCCCCCCTTCCAAAATGCCTTCCCTCTTCTTTCAGGCTGTCCCTGTGGGCAGTTTAAGAACACGGTCTCGAAATTCTTTGATACTCTTCCTATAAGGCAGGCATCCTCAACCTACGGGCCGCGGGCCACATGTGGGTGTTTTTGCCCGTTTGTTTTTTTACTTCACAATAAGATATGTGCAGTGTGCATAGGAATTTGTTCATAGTTTTTTAAAAACTATAGTCCAGCCCTCCAACGGGCTGAGGGACAGTGAACTTGCCCCCTGTTTAAAAAGTTTGAGGACCCCTGCTATAAGGTCGGAGTCCCCTCTCCTTGAACCTGGCAGCCATGTGACAGTTTCAATCAACAGAACATGGTGGGAGGGACACTGTATGACTCTGAGGCTGGCCTGAACTCAATGAGGTGACCCCAGCCTTGTTTTCAGAACCACACGTGCTTGGGGCCCAGAGCGGCCAGGTGAGACGGCTGACTACTCTGAGCCGCCAAGCTTCAAGGAAGCCCAGCCACACCGAGGCCACCTGTGGCCACTCCGAGGCCACTCCGAGGCAGTCCTGGTCTGAGCCCCCTTAGCCTAGAGGCACGAGTGACACTTCACACGATTTCTCATCCCAAGTCCATCACCTTCTCCCAGCCTTCCTGGAGCACCAGCCCACTCCTCATAGCAGCTCTGCAGCAGTGTCATGAAAGCTCGGGCTGCGGTCACGAAGGCCTAGCAGGAACCCTGCCTCTGTTCTCAAGCTCAGCAAGACCCTCCCCCTAAACCTGGGGCTGCTCTGAGGGAAGAGATGTTCGACCACGTTGTCAAGCCTATTGCAAGGGTTAGCCAGAGGTCCCCCTGCGAATCACTAGAGTAGTTACTCGGTGCTCAGTGACCCGCTGCGACACATCTCACTGTACTTCGCTGTGGAACTCCTATTTTCACTTTTGTAGGCATCACATAAGTCAGCAGTTAATTCTATTTGATACACCATCTTCTATTTTGGCATTGTTTGCCAGAGGTGTTGGTCCTGTCTTCCCAGTTACACTCCAGGATTCTTAAGTAATAGTTGTTGCTTTTTAATATCAAAGTTGCATCACAGGCAAATATAATTAAAATGAAAACGAAGTCCCCCTCCCTTCAAAACCTCTGTTCTCCTTCCCACAGGAATCTGTGAAGAGTTTTTTTTGCCTAGCCTCCTAAAACATTTCTGTACCCACAGAAGCATGTAATGCACATGTCACCATAGAAAGGTGGAGTTCACGTCCCGCTCAGACCTGTGCATGCAGCTTCTGTACTGGGGCACAGACTGGGACCCTGGTGGGTGCTGAAGCTGCTCCATCACAGCAGGGAAGAGACTGCATCCATCCTGCCTGCCAGGAAGGAGGTGCAGGGTCACCCTGGGAGTGACCAGGCTGAGCAGGGCACTCCAGCCTGAAACCTCAGGGCCACAATTGCCATGTGGGGTCACTTGCAGACCATGAAATGAGACAGAAGCACAATGCTCCCTCAGCCAGTGGCCTCTGCCCTGGGATCTCAGTTCAGGGTAAGCTGAGAACTGAGTGACTGTCTCACAGTTGTGATGACATTCTGACCACTCCAGGAGAAGGGGTGCAGCCTGGACACTGTACACATAGTGCATTTCCCAGGAAATTATACTTATGACTGTGCAGTGCCCAGTGACAGCTCCTTGAGCTTTCAAAGCTCTCATCAAAAGCAGAGAACACAAAATGCGAGGCCTGGCTTTACCTTGTGCTTCGAATAATTCATTCTGAGGTTCTTTAGCACTTTCAGTTTCTTCATCTGACTTGAGACTCTGCAGAAAAACATATAGAGAAGAATGTGAATCCCTTAGGGCTGCAGTCCCCAACCACCAGGGCCAAGGACTTGTACCGGTCCTGGTCATAGCCTATTAGGAACCCAGCCGCACAGCCGGAGGCAAGTGAGCGAAGCTTCCTCTGTATTTACAGCCACTCCCCATTGCTCACATCACTGCATAAGCCCCGCCTCCTGTCAGATCAGCAGCAGCATTAGATTCTGATAGGTGTGTTAACCCTACTATAAACTGCACGCGAGGGGTCTAGGTTGCGTGCTCCTTAGGAGGACCTGAGGGGGAGCTGAGGCGGTGATGCTAGCGCTGGGGAGTGCCTGCAAACACAGACTATCATTAGCAGAGAGGTTTGAGTGCACAATAAATGTAATGCGCTTGAATCACCTTAAAACCATCCCTCTGCCCCGTCCATGGAAAACTTATGTTCCATGAAACCAGTCCCTGCTGCCAAAAAGGTTGGGGACTGCTGCCCTAGGGGCCATTACAGGTACTAGAGCACCAGGAACAAACAGAACAGGATGTTTTGGGAAGAGGGAGGGGATAACTGGGGTTGCAAAGTCAACCCCCTCAAAGGAAAAGCTCACTCCCTGCCTTGAGGCCACAGTACTCACCACCCAGCAGCCCCAGGCTGAGGCCCCGCATGGCGGAGACGTAGCTGAGAGCCTGCAACACGCCACATGAACCGATACCCTCTCAGAGGAAGAGGGTAGGACGCGGAGACAGGGACACAATTGTTCTGCACTCGGGCTCTTCCACACAAACCAAAGTCATCATAGTCCACACCGAAAACACAACCAAGCACTGTGTGTCCTAATAGGAGAGAAACCTGCTCCCTACGGCTGATCACTGTCTCTCTGCAGCCTTCCCGCATCATCCACATCAGTTCAGCAAACAGGCACAAGGCAAGAGCAGGTCTCTGTGTCCCTCCAGGGGTTCCAGGACAGCAGTGTGTTACCTCATCAGCTTTGCAAGCTTGCACCAAGGGAGGAGACACAGGGCCATCGAGAAACATGTGACTTAAGTAATAACTTTTTGTTGCAGTGGAGTCAGCTGACCATTAAGTCATAGTCTACATCTGACCAGATGCTGTGCATCTGACCAGATGCTGTGCAGTGAATGCCGGGTGATCGAGACTCTACTCCTCAGTCAGAATCTGTGAGTTGGTGATAAATGTTCAACTCCGTTTTTCTAATGCATTCGACTCAAATGACAGTCTCAAAGGCAGCTTTCCCTGTGTTCAGGTTTTCGGAATCAAAGATGATTTAAGAAACAGAATGGCACAAAGAAGATGAAACACTATGAGGAGTAGTTTCACTCAATCCTCTGTCCCTAAGGTCCAAGTTTTAAAATGAGAACAAAAAAAGAATGTCCCAAATTTATTGACGTTGCCCAGGTGTAACACGCCCCTGAGAGAAGAGACTCTTAAGATTTAAGTATTATGTTTGTTTTTCCTCTTTGCCTCAACAAATATTGAAAATATAAACGAATCTAATTTGGGCCCCAGAATTGTCTTATTAAAGATAAGCACCATCCCATCTGTCAGAAGCTGACATCACAGAGAGAAGGAACCAGGAACCTTCTGGCATCCTTGAAAACAGGTCTACTGAGTCCACAATAAACTTGCAAGCTGTGGACCTGCACCATAGACGGTTTACTCAAAATGAAGCACTGAAAGGCTCTAGCAGCCTGTCTCCCAGGTGGATCCCTCGATCCCACCCACCTGCAATGCACGCCCCAGGGCGGTGGCAAGGGTCTGCAACTCCCAAGGCCCCAGGGACATGTCTGGCAGGTTGTGTGTGGACTCTGGTATCTCTGAGTGTGGGAGGCAGGGAGAACTGTGGCTTGATGCACCCACATTCCTGACAGAGAGGTTGCATCAAAATGGCATTCTTCCTCTGCTATCCTCACGACATTAACAATGCACTCCTAGGCAGCCATAAACATCGCCTTCTTGCAGCAATGGGCAAGGGTGGTGGTGAGTAGTGAGAGTGAGAACAAAGGAGAGAGCCCTGTGGCCAGGATTACTGTGAAGACAATCAAACCCAAGGCAATTTAAATGAAATTCCTCAATGTGACCCATGCTTCTGGCAACTGAAGATGCCTCGGAGTGCCACCCTCCTCCCCAGATCCTCGTGATCACATGTTACGAACAGAGATGAAGGAAGATGCCATTTCCCCAACACCGAGCAGCCTGCAGTGGGCAGGCATGGCACGGCCCACCTCTACACTTTCCAGGGACGCTGAACGTCGGAGTTGGCTTTTCAGGTTGGCCTTGGTTTGCTGTTCCGGTACACATCTGGCTTTGGTGGCAGCATCACACAGCTCGGGCTGGCTCCGGCGGCCGTACCACTTAGAGCCCCGCACGTATTTTGGCGGGACAGCACGAGAGGCAGCTGAAAAGAAAATAAGAGATTTGATGGGGGATTCTTTTACAACAGTTCTGCGCTCATACATGCCTCATGGATGCCCTCTGAGAAGGTGCAGACTCAGCACACAGCAACTCCCGATGCATACTGTTTTATACTCACAGAAACGTCTGGAAGAACACAAGAAAGATTTAACATGGGCTAACTTATTACCTGGGTTGGGAGACTGAAAAGCCAGGGCAGAGAGACATGAACTTGTATAAATGCCATGTGCTATTTATACTTTTTCAAGCACATGTGCTTTTGTTTATGTAACTAAAGACTAATACAAAATCTAGCTTTTTATCCAAATGAAAAAATGTCCTCCAATAACCCAAGAACATACAGCTCTAGAAATGTGACGATCATGTCCCACAGCACTCATCTTAAAACCCCACCCTGACAGGGCTGGAGCAGCAGGGGCAGGCATGGCCACAGACATAGCCAGGAAACCCCACGGCAGGTCTAACAGTCTGGGGCAGAGGCCAGTGTGGATTTTAGTTTTAGAATCAATGAGAATCCCAACTTACAATTCCTTGCACTTTCTTCTTCCCACCTTACTTCTCCACAGCTGCACAGAACAGCTGGGACCTCTCAGGCACAGAAGAAACCAACACTGACTTGTGCCACATCCTAATAGTGTGCCATGTGGGCAGGGCAGGAGAGAGACTGGAGAGGGCAGCATATGCAGCAGCCACGACAGCATGGGGCGCAGAGGGAGGAGGCACCAGCATGCAGCCAGTTGGGGAGAAAGGGATAAGGCCCCAGTGAAGTAAGGCCCAGCCAGGGAAACTGAGGTGTATTTCCTTGCAGATGTGCTGGACCTCAGCCCAGCAGAAGTCAGGCTCCCCAGGACCAAGCACTGCCTTATTTCTTTCCTCTGCACCCACGCAGACGGTCCACAGCCTTGGGACAAGCAGAGGAAGAGGCTGGGTCGAGCCCAGCTGACTACAACAGGGAAGGAGATGGAAACTGAGGACAAGGGACGAGGTTCAGGGAGGAAGACAGGGAGTCCCACTCAGGACATGCTGAATATGAGGTGACAGTGGGAGATATTTAAGGCAACTGACAATATTCAGGGTGGCCTCTTAATTTCTCACCCCACTGGGACACCCTTGGAGTCATTGTGGACCCCATTAACAATCACCCCGGACAACAGACATCAACAGGGCCTGACCCACCAAATGCTCACCAGAAGAGACAGAGTTCGTGGGGAGTGCTGATGAGCAGGAAAATGCTCCCATGTTAGCAGACAGAAAATAGGAGAACTTGACAGAAAATGTGCCAGTGCTCAGAAGAGCAGCTACCAACACAGACAAAGACTCTCAAGACTGAGTTGCCAAAAGGGTGCTTGTTCAAGTGACCATTCAGTGCTTCCCTTAGAATACTGAGCCACCCAGAAAAACACATACTTTTTCATAATATTCTCCAGTGCTCACAAAAGGCAGCCCAGCAGTGTCCCACCTCCCTCCATCCAAGAGAAATGCTACCCTAGAAGAGAGTGTTCACGTGGCAGGTCAGGACAGAAACAAGAATGGTGCAGAAATGGGCGAGGGCAGAATAAACAGGGCAGCTTCCCAGTCCCACAGAATTGTGAGGTCTCTTCGCCTTCAGTGGGGGATACCGTGAGTGACCTGGGCCAAGCACCTGCTCAGCAGGAGTGCAGCCAGGCCCCCAAGCCAAATCCCTAAGGGCACACAAGGTGCACAGTGAACAGTGCCCAACACCCCACAAGGGCCTACTGAACAACACTCCTTCCAACCAGAACCCAGCACAGCTGGTGCGCCTTCTTGATATACTAATTATAGGAAAACTGTAACAAAGCTCCACATTAAAATGCATTCAGTTATGTGTTCAAAAACGGCCTCTAACAAAACGAAGAGAATGATAGGGGAGCAAGGTTGTTGTTCAAAATCCAGAACACATGGTCACACCATGGAACTCTCATGCAACAACTTGCAAAAAGCGCACTTTCCTAGTTGAGATACAAAGTGGAGGAAGAGCCAGCAAACAGGTCAAAACTCAGGAAGAAAGTGTGGTCTGGACTGGAACAGACCAGGCAGTGGCCCTGAGGGGTGAGCCCTGGAGCACTGCAGACAGAAGGGGCCCAAGAAGCGAGAGAGGAAGGCACTGGGACTGGGCACAGGCCAGGGGCCAGACAGGGCCAGAACCACTACATGGGGGCCAGGGGCCACGGAAATGAAACTAACACAGCCATGGGGGGCACTGGCACAGCTTCTCCGACACTTCCACCAACATCCACACAGCCCTTCAGGGTAGACAAGGGACCCCCAGCCTCCAGGAGGGAACTTGTCTCAGGTGGCATACACACCACTGAGTTGAGGAAAGCTTTGAAACAAAGCTAATCTGAAACAAAAGAGAAAAAAAACAAACTGGAACAGTGAGAAAAAGCAGGGGTCCTAAACTAGCTTCCTGTTTCTTTGGAAAAACTAAGAACAGACTGACAGTTTTAAGCTTAGAAGCACCTTACGCTTAGGGGAAGGATTTTCTGTTTTCGCTAACATGGACAGGGAAACACATGACATCAGTGGGGCCAGGCTGTCACCTTCTTAAGGCACTTTGCTTAAACTCTATCACATTCCAAGCTCCTGTGCAAGTGGCCCCCTCCACATCTTAAACAAGGAGAGTGAGAGACAGCAATTGGCAACTCACCCAAGGTCATGCAAATGGCTGTTGGCGGCTGCCTGGCTCTGACCCCAGGCGGTCTCCTCCCACTCCAGGGCTCTACTGCTGTGCCCTGTGTCTCCAGGGGGGAGCGGGGCTGCCGAGCACCAGAACCCAGCAGGGTGGGCCCAGGGCTTCAAGCTGCAAAGCCGGGACTCAAATCCTGGCCACCACATACTAACTGTGGGATCACAGAGAAATGTCTTCTCGCCTTGGGCCTGTTTCCTCATCTGAATAACGGGTATGATAATTAATGCCACAGGATTTCCATGAGGGCTAAATGGAATCTCCACACGACACACGTGAAGCTCAGTGCCCGGCACACAGAGGAGCTCCGTGTGAGCCCGTGTCCCTTCCCACCTTCCCCTCCTTGGCCCCAGCCCCTGGACCCTGTCACCCCACCCCAGGCAGCCCCTCCTGACCAGGGTCCCCGGGGCAGCGGCCTCTTCAGCGCGCTAAGAGACAGCACAGACAGGGCGGCGCCCGGCACTGCACGTCGCGTCGGACGCGGGGCCCCGCAGGCCACGCGCGCCCAACAAGGCGCACTGCCGCCACCATCCCGGCTGCACCCCCGCGCAGGCCGCCTCGTGCCCCCTGCCCCACGTGACCGAACTCCGGCCAGCCGGCTCTCCTCAGGACGCCGCTTCCGCTTATTAATGCCATCTCTTGTCCGCCACGCCCCCTTCTGTGACAGGATTCCGATGAGAACAATGGAGCAGCACCACAGCATCCTCTGCGACAAACTAGCTTGTCCTGGCCGCTGGCCAGCCTGCTTTGATGCCCAGGGACCTGGGAGGGCACCCGAACACCCGCACCGCACCGCACCGCACCGCACCGCGAAGCTCGGAATCTCCCACTCCTCCACAGCCACGCGCTCACTGGATCTCGCGACAATCCGCGCGGCAGGCACAGCGCGAGTTGTTATAACTAACGCTATTTTACAAATACAGAAACAAAAGAAGAAAATACCCAAGTGTTTTGTCCAAGTCCACATAGCTTAGTAGTGAAAGAAAGTGGAGTTAGAATTTAGTTTTCAAAACTGCTAGATTCTTCCATTAGAATATTATACTCTGCAAAAGGTAACAAATAATGAAAAGAAACTAAAGTAGACAGGAGGAAATCATCTTACCTGTTTCCAAAGTACTACTTTCTTCCTCCGAGGGGCCAACAGCAGCATTTGATGACAACACAGCCACAAAACCTTCCTTAAATTCTTCAAAGTTAACCTGGGTAAATTTAAGCAAAGATAGGACAAAGTTACTCTCAACACGTTACATTTAATATTTATTCTTTTAGTTTTTCTCAGTTGGAAACATCTTACTGTTGCTTTTTAGAATGGGAATGTTCATTTCATCTTTTCAAATTATTTACTCAAATTTTTTTTAAAACAGAAGAGTAAGGAAAGTGAAAGTAGATCATAACCCACCACCAAATAAACACTATTAACAATTTTATAAATTAAAGAACATAATTAGAAAACAAACAGCACAGAAAAGAGGGATCTAAGGACCATAAAATATTAAACAAAAACCCAACATCTATGCTACCCCCACCCCAAAGGAACAGAACACTGCCAGCACCCCAGAAGTCCGCTCCACCAGGAATCCCTTTCCCATAAATCTCCTGGCTCCTGCTCTGACTTTTATGGTAATAACTTCCTTGTTTTTCTTTTCTTTCTTTCTTTTTTTTCCCCACTAGCTTAACTATTGAAGGCAGATTGCAAATGGAAATTAAAGCATGAAACTGGTGTATAGCTCAGGTTACTCTAAAGAATTGAAAAGTATATTTTTGTGTAGTCTGTTCTAGATGATTAACTATGTGAAACAATCATAAAAAATCAGCACTCGAACAAAGGAAATCATTTTAGCAACACGAATTCAAAAAGAAATATTCCAGATGGAAAATTTCTGTATCTACCTTGACTAGCGATTATTATTATATACATTACAAGGGGGGGGGGGAAAGCTTATATTTTGAAATAATCAAAATACTAATGAATCTATTACCTATATTGTTTGATCTCTGATATAGCTTATCTTATTCTTGGGAATTAAAGAAAGAAAATATGTAAAGTAGGGATATAATGGCTTAGGTAAAAGATTACTGAACACCATTAAAGGAAGAATTTTTTTAAATTTCATATACTTCTCTATTTAAATCACTAGCATCTCTTCTCAACTAGGCTATGGGCAAAAATCATATTTGTATCTTTTTTAACAAACAGCCTCTAAAACACATTTGACTTAACTTAAAAATCAATGAGACCCACTTTCAGAATTCTTTTTTGTGTCTGGATCACTAACAGGTGTACTCTTGCACAGAAATCAGAGCTAATCTTTGTTTCAATTCTTAGAGCTTTATGGTTGATGTCATTTCTCAACTTAAAAAATTATTTTTTCTGTTGTTCACTCAGAGAAGTTTAAGAATACTCACTTAACAAATAAGTCAATTAATGTTCCCTTTCCAGAGGATGTTTATGTACAGGTATTCTCAGTGGTAGGAAAAGAAAGGAACCACAATTTTTCCAGGTATCCAAAACCAATTTGTCTTGTGTCTTCTTACGAATCTAAGGTATTCTACACACTGTGGCATGTATTCTTACCTGGCTGCTTCTTTGTTTTTATTGTTGTTGTTGTTTACTCAAAGGACTACCAATTTATCAAAGCTGGAAATTTCAGCTATCATGTAGTAGACTTAAATGTACAGAGGCATTAATATGTGTTACATGAACTGTACTAATTTAGGGTAAACGAATGTCTCAATGACAGTCTGAAACTATTCCTTTCAAAACTGAAAAACTGCTGGAAATTTGTTCAAAGAGTGGGTCAATAAATATTAATATAATACAAATAATACATTCTTTCCACACGGTGAATGAACAACTGTAGCAGCCCCTCTGATCAACAGTAATGATTGCAAAATTTAAATCTGGTCCCCTCTTGTTTCCAATTGAGAACCTGTTTGAAGATATCCCATTGCTTTTATTAGGACAAGAAAAAAACTCCTTAACAAAGCCTGTAAGGCTTGGGAGACCCTTCATCTCTCCAGCCTCATTTATTTGTGCAGGAAAAACTCCCTCCTGACCTAAGGCTTTCCAATTGTTATTCTTTTCACATGGAATGTCCTTTCCTTAGTTAACTCTTGCAAAGCAGACAAGAAAGGACACTACTAGGCTTAATCAGGAATGAAAAAGGAGAAATTCCAACTGACACTATGGAAATACAAAATATCATCTATGAATACTATAAAAATCTCTATGCACATAAACTTGAAAACATGGAGGAAATGGACAAATTCTTAAAAACACACAGCCTCCCTAGGCTCAATCAGGAAGAAACAGAATTTCTAAACAGACCAATATCAAGTACTGAAATTGAAGCAGCAATAAAAAAACCTTCCTAAAAAAAGAGTCCCAGACCAGATGATTTCATGCCCAAATTTTACCAGAACTACAAAGAACTGGTGCCAATCCTGCAGAAATTATTCCATAATATCGAGAAGGAAGGAATTGGCTCCAACACATTTTAAGAATCCAACATCACCCTGATACTAAAACCAGGAAATGATTCAACAAAAAAGGAAAACTAGAAACCAATATCCCTTATGAATATAGATATAAAAATCCTCAATAAAATCCTAGCAAGCTGAATTCAGGTGCTTATAAAATATAATCCATCATGTCGAAGTGGGCTTCAACTCACAGATGCAGGGATGGTTCAACAAACGCAAACTATAAATGTAATTCACCACATAAATAGAAGTAAAAACAAAGACCATATAATTCTCTCAATAGATGCAGAAAAAGCATTCAACAAAATTCAGCACCCTTTTATGATAAGAACATTTAACAGAATAGGCACAGACGGGACTTACCTAAAAATGATACAAGCTATATATGACAAACCCACAGCCAACATCATACTGAATGGGGAAAAACTGAAAGCATTCCTGCTTAGAACTGGAATCAGACAAGGTTTCCCAATACCACTACTTCTATTCAACATAGTGCTGGAAGTCCTAGCCAGAGCAATCAGACAAGAGAAGGAAATCAAGGGCATCCAAATGAGGGCAGAAAAGGTGAAACTATGGCTCGTCGCTGACAACATGATCTTATATCTAGAAAACCCAAACATTCTGCCATGAGAATACTAGAATTGATAAACAAATTCAGCAAAGTCTCAGGTTACAAAAGCAAGTACAGAAATCAGTAGCATTTCTATACACCAACAGTCAAAACTGAGAACCAAATCAAAGACTCAATACCCTTCACAATAGCAACAAAGAAAATAAAATACTTAGGAATATATTTAACAAAGGAGGTGAAAGACTTCCACAGGGAGAACTATGAAACACTGAGGAAAGAAATAGCAGAGGAAATAAACAAGTGGAAAACCATACCATGCTCATGCTTGGAAGAATCAACATTGTTAAAATGTCTATACTACCCAAAGTGATATAAAGATTCAATGCAATCCCTACTAAAATGCCAACATCATTTTTCACAGATCTAGGTAAAATAATTCTACACTTCATATGGAACCAGAGAAGACCCAGTATAACCAAAGCAGGATCGCTTGAGCCCAGGAGTTTGAGGTTGCTGTGAGCTAGGCTGACGCCATGGCACTCACTCTAGCCTGGGTGACAAAGCGAGACTCTGTCTCAAAAAAAAAAGTGGGCAAAGGACATGAACAGAAACTTTTCAAAAGAAGACAAACTAATGGCCAACGAACATGAAAAAATGCTCAACATCTCTAATCATCAGGGAAATGCCAATCAGAACTACAATGAGAGGCCAGGCGCAGTGACTCATGCCTATAATCCTAGCATTCTGGGAGGCTAAGGCAGGAGGATTGCTCAAGGTCAGGAGGTCAAAACCAGCCTGAGCAAGAGCCCCAATCTCTACTAAAAATAGAAAAAAATTAGCCAAACAACTAAAAATAGAAAAAATTAGCTGGGCTTGGTGGCGTGTGCCTGTAGTCCAAGATATATCCAGGAGGCTGAGGCAGGAAGATCGCTTGAGCCCATGAGTTGGAGGTTGCTGTGAGCTAGGCTGACGCCACGGCACTCTAGCCCAGGCAAGAGAGTGAGACTCTGTCTTAATAAAAAAAAAAGCCTACAATGAGATACCACTTAACCTCAGTGAGAATGCCTTTTATCAAAACATCCCAAAACAACAAATGTTGGTGTGGATGCGTAGAGATAGGAACACTTATACACTGCTGGTGGGACTGCAAACTAGTACAATCTCTATCGAAAGTAGTATGGAGATGCCTCAAAGAGGTAAAAGTAGAACTCCCATATGATCCAGCAGTCCAGTTATTAGGCATCTACCCAAAGGAACAAAAGACATTCTATAAAAAAGACATCTGCACTCCAGTGTTTATGGCAGCACAATTCACAACTGCAAAGATATGGAAACAACTTAAGAGCCCGTTAATACATGAGTGGATTAATAAAATGTGGTATATGTATACCATGGAGTACTACTCAGCCACAAAAAACAATGGTGAACTAACACCTCTTGCATTATCCTGGCTAGAACTAGAGCCCATTCTACTAAGTGAAGTATTATGGGAATAGAAAAACAAACACCACATGTGCTCACCAGCACACTGGTATTAACTGATCAACATTTATGTGCACACATAGTAGTAACATTTATCCAATGTCAGGCAGGTGGGAGGGAGAAGGGGGGTGGGTATATTCACACTTAATTGGTGCAGTACACATTGTCTGGGGGATAGACATGCTTACAGCTCTGACTCAGGCAGGGCCAAGGCAATATATGTAACCAAAACATTTGTACTCCCGTAACATGCTGAAATTAAAAATAAATAAATAATTTTTAAAAACATGCATCCTTAGTTTATCAAAATCCACTATTAATCACTGCTTTTACCATCTACTATGACAATACTTAAGCTTGTGTAATATTTTAAGTCCACTTACCATACTGCTGAATTTTATGCCTTTTTATCAAGTATTTTAAACTCTCACAAAATATTATTTTTTATTTTATATCGTTAATGTTCATTTAGAATTATCTACATCTTTACCACTTTTCATTTCTTCTTGCATTTCTGACCTTCCATCTGGAATAATTTTCCATCTATTTAAAGTACAGTTATCCCTCATTATGCTTGGGGGATTGTTTCTAATCATTAACTCCAGGAATACTCAACTCCCACAGTCAGCCCTGCAGAACCCACCCATAGTAAAGTCAGCC